AGATAATAAATTCCTATCATTGATTTCTACAGAAGGCTTTTGGGTAGATGCCTTATTAGAAAATAAAATCCTATTGCTAAGAAAATTAGCTAAGAACACAACCACTGAGCAAACAAACTTAATGAGTGTATTAAATTTAGAAAAGAAAAATGTCTCATTTTAAACAAAGAAGCATACTTAATACCTGCAAACAGACATCTAATCTGCAGTAGCTGTGATGATTCAATAAAAAGGAAACTTTTAGAACAAATGAAAAGGCTAACATTGAATTCAAACCGTTTTGTGTCAGCTTCCAAAATTTACACCAACTGTAATAACTCAGTATATTCTCTTAGCATTTATCTTAATAATGCTCAAAACCCCAATAAGGTTTGAAGTCACCAGTTGGCACAAAAACCCTTTGCAAGAGACTCCATGTAACACACACGACCTTCTTTTACAAGCAAACTTGGAGATTTTCAGATACACTTTAGAGCTGCTGAACTACAGAATTGCCACAAGCAGATGTGTGTCCAGGATCACATTAGTGGAGACTTTCTCCGTTCCCTTGCCTATATTCAATCTCTTGCTCTTCCCAGGATCCTCTCCTATTTATTTTTCCTTACCTCCTAGATACTGAGGAAAATTGTCTCCTGCTCAAAATGAGTCTTTCTTCACCCAATACTCCATTAGTGAGTTATTTAAAGCTGTCTTCTTCTGATCAGGGAGCCAGTCATGAATCTGCTCAGTGATTGAGCTAATGAAATATCATTAATAATCTCTGAAAGTGTTCCATGCTATCATATACAAATCATAACCTATACAATTTGGTCTAATAAAAGATTTATCCTCCTCTGCTAATCTTGCTTCTTAAATTATGATAACATAGCCATTAAATACTTATAAACGTATGCTCTATTTATTTTTACACCCACATAAGTTACAGCCATGTAAGTGAGCTTCAGTCACACAGAACACTAATATAAGACAAACAACAAAGAATTGCTTATTTTAGTACTTCATATATACGTATTTCAAAATACTCAAATTCTGGTCTCTGCATTTCAGATTTCCCAGCAGTTACAACAAGTCACGAAACTGACTGTTCTTTACAGAAGGAAAATCCTTTAAGCACAGTACTTTGTAATGAAAAAGCATGCTATAGTCATATGATTTTTTATTGAGTGACTACACATTAATTATTTCTATAAAGATGCAATTAATCAAAATTGATTCCTGGAAATCATCTAGAAATTCTTAAACATTTATGCTGTAATAATTTCTGTAATTTTAATAAATCTGCATTTTTGACTTCTCCTAGCCTATCAATTCTAGCAAGCAATACATAATTTCAGATGTACTGCAAAGGATCTCTACCTGAATTTGGCCAGTATCCATAAAAGTTCAAGTAAAAATGAAGTGCTATCATCAAAACAAAGCAAAGGTAAAGGAGTAGGAAGGGGTGCATTTAGGCTAGGAAATATCTCATGCTGAACTTGGAAAACATTATACCAAGGCAGCTGCTAATGAAAACAGCCAATTGTACTCCTATAGGAGAATTCTTTTGCTACTGTTTACTAAGATATCTGAGGGAAATAAGATTGAAGAGGTAGAATTTTCAATATGGCTTAAGGACTTGACTGGTACTGCAATGTGTGTTTGGAAAAACATACTTGAAAAGCTTGCCTAGTTTTGGGGGGAGGGTTTGGTTTTTGGGGTGATTTTTTGGGGGGGTTTATTATTGAAAAAAAACCCACAAAACCATTAACTTGAGGCTAGTTTCTGGAACCCATATCTAGTTCTTGCCTCATTAAAATAGCAGTCTTCAGAAGCTTCTGTGGCTAGGTATTGATTTAATGTGTAAGGCTCCTATTCCTCAAAGCTTTGATTCAATGTCTTATGATTCATACAATTTTGATGTACAGGGGAGACCTTTTGGTCTTGCTCAAGTGAATGGAAATTTTTTAGTATTTTCAGTGAGATCAGAATTTCAGTTGCATTTGGGGATTTCCAAGGATTCTTAAACTGGTTAAAAGCATGTGTAATTTACATGTGGACCTCACCCCAAAACTTGGGCTCAATAAATAACGCTACTATCTTATTTATTCAAGGACTTTAGTTTTGTAGCGTAAGCAGTTTATTAAAAGCCACAAAGCAAACCAACATTAAGATCAGAATTATGGTTTTGGTGATTTTTTTCCCTCTGCAGAGGTACTATTTTCTATTAAGATGCATCTAAACTGCAGCACATTTCAAGATTGCTCCAAGTATGAGTAGTATGAGAATACACACACTCACTGGAACATTAAAAATAACCTTCTGATGTAATTCATCTAACTTCTTAAATTTCTTAAATTAAAACTAGTAAATGAGGAAGAATCAAGGTTAAAATTAAAGAAAAATAGACTTCAGGCTAAATTTCTGGCAGACCCAATTGCTTTGTTGACATATAAACTAAGGTATTCTTTTATCAAAATCAAAATTTTGCTTATATACAGCTTTTTCTCAGGTTTTTCTCTTTTGATTATATACAGGACAGGACATAAAATACTCCAGTTCTTCTAGGTTTAAGATTACTTTATGGAATAAATGTAATAGTAAATCTAGAAAAAGTAACTGGAAACAGAAGCAGCAAAAGAGAAGAGGACAAGGTCAATCAACCATTAAAATGACTCTGGAGTGCAACTTGATGTTTCCAAATAATTATAATTTAATTCACCTATAATGTATAAGCTTTCCATTATTTCACTTTACTGTAATTTTAATTGCTAAACAGATCTTTTACAGACATGAAAAAAAGAAACCTAACAGAAAAGAGAAATGCATCATGGGCCAAAGCTACCACTTCATCAACTTTTTTTTGCTGATGAAGTTTTCTTATTGTTTTCTATATTGAAAACTATTGTTGTAATGTAAAAATAGAGGTCATAAAAGAAGACAGAAAATATTCCACCAGAAATGTTTGCTGGACAGAACTTAACAGCCTAAAGATAAGTTTGATTTCTCAAAATCTTTTGATGGAAATAAAGGATGTGGGCAAGTCACGCTAACCTCAGCCTATCTGCTATAGCTGGCTCTACAAACGGCAGATCATTAGACCTCCAGGTAACCAGCTGCCTTAAATTTTAAATTCCCAGCTCTGTCTTACCTCTGACTGTGGGATACTTTTATCACCTCTGTTTAACAAGGTCTTAATAATATTTTTGCTCATAATCAAGCATGGTACATCAATACCCAATGGAAGGTACAGGATTAAAATTTATTGAGAACTGTGATGATCAAAGAAAAGAAGCCTGTTCCAGAAAAGGTTGTCAGCGGTGAAAATGAGTACAAAGCATAGATGTCCCTCCAGAGGCTGCCTGAACACGGATAGATCCAAGCTCCTTTTTTTGAATTGGATTTGAATTCTAAGTGTAACTATAAAACACTCCAGAGATGTAACTAACAGAGTTCCAAAATAGGAGGAGGGTTGTGAAGGGAATTATTTGAAGGTAGAGAAAGGAGAAAACTGTTTCCAGTGGGACTTTTTAAAAATTACTAAGTGATGAGAAACAAGAAAAAGAAAGCTGTCCCAGTTATTCAGGACTGCAGAGATGGGAAAGGAAAGAGAACATAGACTGCCAGCAAACGTATCTCTGAGGTGCTGGAGACAGAAAGCTGAAGTCTCTAAAGGAAGAAGCATCACTGTTGAAATGCTGAGCCACGAATGCTGTAATTTTGAATTGGCAAGCACTGCAAACGGGATCTTGGCATGTGTCAGTGAGATCTTGGCACGTGTCAACTTGCAGCATCCAAACACCAGCAAGCCTCAGGGACCCCGTGTCGCTGTCAGCGATGAATACTGCTTTCCAAAGCCATTTCAACAACAGACGCCAGCAAGCTGCAGGGTGTTCTTCTCCCCCGGATTTTTTTAACTTTCTGCAGGTGGCGGCTTGTGAGTTCGCCTGAACACGGACGCAACATCCACGGTTTACCGGCTACCCCATATGGGCACTGAACATCCCAGGGAGGCTGGGGAACAGCCGGGAGCGGGCCGGGAGCGAGGGGCTGCCCAGGGCCGGCACGGCTCCTGCACGAGGGGCGGCACCGGCCCGGGGCACGGCCGCACGGGCACACCGGGGACACGGGGACACCGGGAACAAGGAGACACTGGCGACACGGGCACACCGGGGACACTGGGGGCACAGGGACACGGAGACACTGGGGACATGTGGACACGGAGATACTGGAGACACGGGGACAGCCCGGCCACCGACAGCCGGCGCTTTGCCGTCACCGCTTCTCCCTCACCCGTCCCCGCCCCGCGCCATCCTTCTGAAGAGGAAGGATGACTGAAGAGGAAAGATGACTACCATTCAAAAACAGTATTAAAGAAAAACAGACTTCAGGCTAGATTTCTGGCAGACCCGACTATTTTTTTGTCGACACATAAAACTGAGTATTTTATCAAAATTCTGCTTTTTTTCTCTTTTGATTACATACAGGATAGGGCATTAAAACCTCCAATTCTTCTAGGTTTAAGATTATAGAAGTAATTTAATAGTAAATTAAAAGTAACTGGAAAAAGAAAGAGCAAAAAGGAGAGAAGTTAAGACGAGAAGATCAAGTAACCATATATTCATCTGGAGTGCAACTTGATGTTTCCGAATTATTTTAATTTAATGTACCTATAATGTATAAACTTTCCATTATTTCAGCTCACTGTAGTTTTAACTGATAACATCTTTTACAGACATAAAAAAAAAAACCAACAAAAAAAACCAAAAAAAAACCACCAGAACCAGAAGAGAAAAGAGAAGAGCATCATTGGGCTCCAGGCCGTCCCGGTTCCCACTCCCAGCCCTGTCCCGGTCCCGGCAGGACGGGTGTGCCCGACGCCGCCGCTGCGCGTGCGCGCGCCGCCCGGGCATGCGCAGTGTGCGGGCGGTGCGCGGGGCGGGCGGAAGTTGCGCAGGCGGCGGAGGAGCGGGACGGGCACAAACAGGGAGCGGCGGCACGCGGGGAGCGGCGGGTCTGCGGGCCCGGCTGTACCTCCCTCCGTCCCGCAGCTGCCCTGCACACGGGCTCCACGGCTTTGGAAGTTCTTTCCGGGCACTGAGTAAACCGAAAGGGGAGTTTTGTTGGTAATACGCCTGTGCTGATGGTCTTGGTTTTAAGAGTCTCGTCTTCTTGTAACTGGTAGATTCACTTTCTGAAGCTATTAATTAATACCGTGTGACGTGTGGGATCTGCAGAATAGCCCTGTCCTCCTGAGGCCGCTACTTTTCAGTGGGTTGCCGCTTTCTAGAGATGAAGTACTAGAGTTGAGATATTAATGACTGTGTGAGAATCCCTTTTCCTCAGGTAATGTTTGATTGTAGTCTCTTGACAATGTCAGATGAGTAAATTTTAATCTTGAAATAAATTTTGTTTTCTTAAGAAACCTAGTTGTACTCTAATGAAACTGAGTATCACTTGTGTAATTAACAGTAAGAACAGCCGAGGGTATACTTCCCAAGAAAAGACAAGTGCCCGAAGATCTGCAGCAAGAGCAAGCTGAAGCCTTGCAGCCAGGGCAATAAGGTGTGTCACGGTACTGACTTGATTTCTCCTTCTATTTCAGTTAATCTGACATGATGTTTTCACCTCATAAGAATTCTCAACTAATAAATTACAAAATTAGACCTTTGAAAAAAGTCTAGCCAGACTACACGCTTTGTTCGCTGATGGTCTTCTTGATTTCATTAAGACTGCTATGTGACAAAAGCTTTGTCTTGTGATGGCAGGTTGGGTTTGTGGTAGTCTGTACTGCCTATTCTGCTCAAGCCGCAAATGATAATTTTTATGGCAAACGTTGCATAAAATATAGCAGGAATGTATGGCTGTGTCTACAAATATGTGTGTTTTTCTAATGAAGCATGACTTATTTCATAATTATTTTAACTTTTGCACAGTTAGCCTGAATGTTGCACAGACTAGTATTTATGTTTACTAGTCTTTATGTTCAAGTACCTACCACTGTGACTTACCACATTAATAAGATGCTGATGCTCTCGGCTATTCCTTCATTCTTCATGAGACTTTGGTGAAGTTTCCTTCAGAAGTCCACAAAGTCATGTCTTTTATTCTCTTTGGTTTCCCAAAATGACATTATTCTCTTCGTGGAATTTTTGTGTATGACTGAAGTATTTCTTGGTAGTAGGGAAAGGATTAAATTTTCTAGAACATCAAGGATAGGTCAGAGCAGCCCATAAGAGTTAAGACCTCAGTGTTATATTTCACTTGAGTGATGTATATTGCGTTCTCTTTGGGAATGTTAAACTGTGGGTTACATCCTATATACAGTATATAGTCTACTTTAAACAGTCTACATTCTTTCATATAATTCTTTGTTAAAATTTGTTAAGCTCTCTGGTTGCTCACTCTCCATATTTTTGTCACTTTAATTACTGGAAGGCAAAAGGTGTTTCTAGTTCAGTCTTCTTCCTGCTGTGTGTATGTGTTATGTCACTCTTCTTCAAGGAGTGTCCCGTGCTGCTGTCTGCCTTTCCTGCAGTCTCTGTTGTTTTTGTTTGGGGTTTTTTTCAGTATCCATCTTTATGTATAGCTCTCTTTACGCCATTTACGGGCTCCTTAGGCTCAAGTTGGAATGATTCCTGTCAGTGTTAGTCAGGCTTTTGAGAGCAACAAAGGTATTTGACAGACTTACTTATTTTCACTTAGCTGCTCTCCAGAAGACTTGGGAACACCAAGGACAGCCCTAACAATATCTTCATGTAGATTTTGTGAGCCAGTGCTCTATCAGTTTGTTTTGGAAAATTTACTTTTATAACTCTTAGAACTGGATACTCATATCTTTGGTTTTTAATTGCTGAGAACAAGAATCTGAAAGCTGCATGGATTAGCAGTTAGAACACATGACCTTAGTTTTATATATATAGGAGTTTAAGATCTGTAAAAACACCCCACTTGTTTTCTACTAGGCTGTTATTCACATAAATTCAAATTATAACAAAATATAATTTTGTTATATTAAAATATAATGCTCTGTGTTCCGAAGACATCGTCATGGGAAAAATAAACAGAAAAAACTATTTTTAACTGCTAAGTAATGTAACAGAGAGAAACAAGATAAAAAATTGTTAATCTGTTATGTTGTATTGTATATATATGGCTCATTATACTGTTGTTGGGTGAAGACCAATATTGCTGATTAACTTCGAAGTTGGCTCTTTTTAGGTGGAATAGATCAGCTTCTCAGTCTGCTAGAATAAAGTGTGAAGTAGATACTTTGAACTGAAAAGCTGTGTAAATCTTCTAGTTGCACTTTTCACTAGAGACTTGAAATCCTAGTAGGCTAATGACAATGTTCTTGTGTTTTGGTGCTGTTTGAAAACACAGACAAAGGCATCGTTTTTAGGCTCATTCAGTAATGTCTTACAGAAATCCTAACTTCTAATACCTCACTAATCAAAGCAGGAACAGCATCTGCACCTTTGTAGCAGGCTTTTACTTCTTCTGAAACTCAAGCAGAAATTGAAGCCTGTCTGGTGCTGTACATCTCAGCTCTGTGCTGTCATAGGTTGACCCTGGCTGGAAGCCAGGTGCCTGCCAAAGCCACTCTTATCATTCCCCCCAGGAGGACAGGGAAGAGAAAATACAACTAAAAGCTTGCAGGTTGAGATGGGGAGATCACTCACCATTTACATGGACAAAAGAGACTCAAAGGAATTTAACTCACTGGTCATCAAATCAGGGTGGGATAATGACAAATAAGAACGAGTCTAAAGACTTTTCCCTCACCTCTCCTATTTTCTGGGCTTAGCTCCACTCCAATTTCTCTACCAATTTCTCCCCCTGAGCTGTGCAGGGGATAGAGAATGGGGATTGTGGTCAGTTCTTAATGCTTCATTTCTCCTTCCTTCCTCCTCATGTAAATTGGAAGCTAGGAAAAAACAGAAGATAGTCATCCTGTGTGTGCCATTGCAACTGAGACACCCTCAAACCGAAATACTGATATGTCATGAGTGACTGTGACTTCTTGCTTGTATCTGTGAGACAAGAATAACAGCACTGGGGGGGTTTCCTGGAAAATGGGGAAGGAGAAAGAAGGGTTGCTAACAGCCAGAGAAACAGTCATGAGTTATTAGTGAAGTCCGGTATCTTTGGATACTGGAGTAACAATAAGGTAGATTTTTGAATTTTCTGAAGAATAACGCACTTTTTAAAAGAATGTGCATAATTTTGCGCTCTGCACCTCTGTATGCTGCTTATGTTTGTAACTTATGATGGTCATAAGAGAAAGTCTTCACTGGTCTTTCCATTTTGCCGTGGTTTCCCAATTCCATTTTCATTATCACTGAATATTTTTTAGGAATTCAGTCTGCTTAGCACTGCAGAAGCTCTTTTGAGCTATAACTGAACGTAGTTTAAGCTTTTACTGAGTAGAATACCAAGTTTTTGTGTCCGTTCAAAACTACAGAAAATATTTTCTTTCCCGTTCTTTACTATCATATAAGAATTGCTAAAACTGTTTGAAATTAGAGCTGTGGCAATAATGCTGCCATCTGGATTTTCAGAAAACAGAAAGCATTTTTTGCGTAGTTTATTAAAACTTGCTGGAAACAGAAGATTGATAATGTTGTGGCTGTTCTGTAGATACCCACTTGAAATAAAAATTGTACTATAAAGACAAAGATACCCCCAGAAGAAATGAGATGACAATGTAATGAGAAAATACACCAATAGCTTCTCATTGCTAGATCACTTTTTTCTATTATGTGTAACTTCACTGCAATAGACTACTCTTTGAAGCTCTCCCCTATTCTCTGCATTATAACACTGTCACTATTAATTTATTTCATTGACTTTTAGCACAATGAGGGCAGACCATAGATGACACAGTCATACATTCCTTATCTTATTCCGAGTGCCTTCCATGCTTGGAATCTGTAGATACCCATCTTATTTTTTTATTATTTTTTTCATTACTTGATTCATTGATGAAATTTTTTTGATCTGTACATAAGCATCTTTTGTTCATTTTAAGTTAAAATGACAGATGTTTTAATTTCTTACAGTCGAATTTTCTTCTAGGGAAGAAGATATATATGGAGAGTGTTTGTCTTTGACCTTGTGCTGGGGAAGGAGTCATTCAAAGTCTTTGCATGATTTTTATCTGCATTTCTACATAAAATATTAACACTGTTTACATTACTCTTTGCATTTATATGCATTTCTATTTATTTATATGTAGAGTAATATTTTATTGCCATTTATGGTGTTTTGGAATGTTTGAAAAATCAAGTAATTTGGATGGCAGTCTATTTTCAAGGAAATGTTACTTTCTTCTTGCTTCTTATGATACTAAGAGATGAGCCCAATCCCCCTGAAATAGTTTTACATAATTAAACTGTCTTGTTATGAAATAGGAAAATATTCCCCTTCTGACTGAGGTGCAACTTCTAGTAACTCTTCATTTGAACAAAAGAAGGAGCTTCAGGACTCTTTTTATGATTTTTGTTTAGACAAAGCAGCTATGCCTGTTCAGTTGCTGAAAATCATTAAAGGACAATCTGAGATTCCACTACCAAGCCATTTGCAGAAGGAGAATTTGCAACATTTGCAAGAAGGCCGTGATCACGCCAACAAATACATTCAGGTAAACTGACCAGTAAAAAAATTTTGTCTTGCTTTGAAATAGCTCCTCTTAACATTAGCAATGCACTTTTGTATTCCAGCTCAGTTGGTGACCTTCTGCAAAATGTGTGTCATTGTGTTCATCTGTTGCATATCTTTTAGCAGTGGAAAATTATGACCGTTTTGAACCTCATTGCATGTTGCTTTTTTTACCTTCTTTGATTCACAGTCCTGTCCCTTTCTCTTACGTTATCAGACTAAAATTTTGTAGGAGTTTCTCTTTTCAGAGTTTATCAGCTGTGGACCAATTTAAAACACATTAATATGCAGAATGCATTGCTTAAAATGGAGGGATTGTGGGAGGTTAAGTGGTATTTTGTTTTTAAAAAAACTGTAATAAGCACTTCAATCCTGTTAAAGATCAGAGTAAGTGAATTGAGCATAACTGGTTTCAGAGTAACTAAAAAACTTCTAAAGTAGTTTTCCTTTTGTATGAAATGATGCAATATCCAGTTTTATAAAAAATGTTGTTTGTAGCAACTACCAGCATCAAGGCACAATTAGGTTTTTTATCATTACGAAGTGTGCACTTATATTTGACAGTAATCTTAAATATATTTTGGATTGGAAGTACAATCCTGCGATACTAGTGAAATGCAGAAACAACCTTTTCCATGCCTAAAACAAGTATTCTCGGTAAAATGCAGTGTCAATTCTTGAGTGTGTTCTTTTTTTATCCTGTTTAACTTCTTTTTGTCTGTCACTGAGAATCATTTTAGGCATCTCTGATGCTTACGTGTCAGAATATCAGCATTAATTCAGGCTTTCTTTCAATCTGTTAATTAAAAAGAAAAAAGGGAAAAAGTTAGGGCAATCTGGTTCTGTAGAAAACCTAAGTTGTCTTGAATCCTTAAAAAAATGGCATAAGCATTTTAAAAATATGAGCTGAACTGATCTAATGTATTTCTGTATCCGAAAAAACATTTTTGCTACCACAGCTCCATATTCTCAGTTCCAACTCTAGTGCTTATGTGACCCTGTGATTGAGTCCATTCATGAGAAGGAAGCTGGCAGAAGACTGTCCTTATTGCTGGAGAGAGGATAATTTTCTGCTGCTCTCACTCTGCGCTGGTTCCTTGTGGTGTCAAATTGATGCCAAGAGTGGTGCACTTCGGTGTACCGAAGGAGCAGAACTGCCCTGTCTGGCAGCAGGCAGCAGTTGAGTGATGTAGGAGGTGATTTGATTGAGAATGAGCCTCCCTCAGGTCTTGTAAAGGAACGAATGGAAACATCAATAACCATTGCTGCTAGCAAACGGGGTTTATTCCTCAGGGTGTAGTTTTCTGTCCCTGTTCACCTGTACGATATATAGACTTTGCTGTTTTGAAGAGCTATGTCTGCAAGCAGCTCCAACGTGGAAGAACAGGGATACTTGTTCAGAAGAAAGTGGTGAAGGAGACAAAAATGCATTATAAGTTAGAAAATCTTTCTGCCAAAATAAATATTTCTATTTGGAAAGCAGAGCAATTACTACCAGACTATGATTTAAAGCATACATGCAGTGCTCTAGCTGATTCTGAAGGGAAGAGTATGTAGAATGTCTTTCTCAGGCTTCTGCCTTATGTAAAGAGAACTTCATGCTGCTGCTGACATGGATTAGTAGGTGACTAAAACAGCTTGGCATAAACAGCATGACTGAGAGTTGATAAAGCTGGTGCTAATGCACCTTTAAATGTGAAGGAAAATCCAGTTCTGCAGGCTGAGCTTGAAGTGAACCTTACAGTGCACTGATGTTAGGTTATCTTTGTGGTGGCACACTGTCACTCTAGACCTGCCAAAATAGGGATCAGGTCCTGCTTTGACAAGGGGAGAAGGGCAGGGGAGGATTTTTATGAAATGTGTTCTGGCAAAAGCAAAAAAAAAAACATTTAGAATCCTTCTGTCTGACTTGTGTGCCTCAGTCCTTTCATTCTTCTGTGTGTTTTTATCTCCCTGGCACCTCTTTGAAAACGGCAGACTTCAAATTGGTAGAAAAACAGCACAAGCAATATTTGTACCTCTTCAGTCATCATGTTCATTAACTAAACATGATGCCTTCTCCTATTAGTTCATCATCCTCTGGATTTTGCTGTGGCAAATCTGAACTAAACCTGTAAATAAGCTGCCAAATCAGCTATAGAACCAAACTGAGGGAGCGAGGCCTTCTCAGGAAGGAGACACATGTAGTAGAAGAATTGTACGTGGTTGGTTTGAGAGTGCATCTAGTGGCATGTGGAGTGTTTTGGAAAGTTTGCTTCTGAATTCAATAAGCAGTGCAAGATTTATGAGGGAAGAGTCAATCTGAGTAAATTTTGCTAAGGTAGGCTCTTTTGAAGTTTGAAGCTCAAGATATTCAGGCATGTGGGGAAGGCAGTGGGGCAGTATGAGGAAATGGGTAGTAGCTGGGGAAGAGAACTATAGCTTAGGTGTTTGGGATACAGAGGAAAGTGAAGGGGCCAGACCATTATAGCAAAGAATGTGATCCCAGAATTTGAAAACACTTTGGAAGGTACTGGGATGTAAAAGGAAAAATAAAAAGTAAAGATGGTCAAAAAGCAGTCACTATCTCATCAATGAATTCCACTTTTAAAGTAGCGTGCTGGTGCAGATTGAAATTTCTTACTAAGAAAAAAATATATATGTAAACACTGAGTGTTCCTGAGGTGACTGTTTCATTGCAAAGACTTTATTACAAGAAAAATTCTGTAGTTTTTTATTTACCTGTGACAATTCACAGTTCACAATTGTATTTACCTTTACAATTCACAACAATCTCAGCAAGAACAAATATCTATGTGTGTGTGTATATCTATATATATAGAGAGAGAGAGAGAGAGAGAGTGAAATTTTAAACAAAGCTGTAATTTTGAAAACAAGTAGGAAAGCTTCCTGTTTTTACAGGTAAGTTCCTACTTTTCACAGAGAAGACTAATGAGTTTTATATGGAGACGTAATTATCAAAATATTTTGGAAATCAGCATCTGTAAATAACGTTGAGGTTTTGTGGACTGGTATTACTTCTTTATAAAAGAGATAGTAAAATCTTGTTGAATTTGATTTGGATTACTCCTCAGCACATCATATGACAAATTTTACTGTGAAAGGCCTCTGGAGTAACAATTCACTGCTGCATATTTTATCCTGATTTGGTTTAAGCAAATTACTAAAGTAAAACTGTAATTTACCTGACTGTCCTCTTAATGTTACATTTATAGATATATTGCCCTGTTCTTTTTTTACAAGAAACCTTTTAGTATATTTTTGTGTTGTTTAGCTTTTTTAGGCATTTTACGGAGTCTGTTTTCAATATTTTTATTTTTCTTCATTGAACCAGTTTTTTTTGGTTTTATCATTGAGAAGGTGTAACAGTGCTTTATCTGCCATACTGTGAAAGAATACACTTGACTGACATCTTTGGTAATGCAGATGATAACCATATTTCTAACTAGAAGTGTGACTAAAGAGGTGTGAAATGTTAACATCATTGAAGTTGCTGATTTTTGCTTCATTATAACTTCAGCTTCACAATATAAAGAATATTTTGAATTAATCATTAAATCATAGCATCTTTTAGAGCATTTGTATTATTGCCTAATAAGTAGGACATGACAGTTTCAAACCTTTGTAGTACTCTTCTCACATCTGTATTTTTTTTTACAGAACATTATATATCTTCATATGCTTCTATTATATCTTGACTGTGATTTTATTCTGATATTTATGTTGTAATCCTTTGCCAGTATTTTTGGAGAAATTTCTGTATCTTTTAAAATTTTGATCACTACCTCTTCAGATGTCTTTCAGGTTTTGTGCTAAAACTAGCGTTTTTTGCTATTTTTGTAATAAAAGTTGCATGTATAGTTCCATAGCTACTGTCTTATTTTACTATCTTATTTATGTTTACGTTTATCATCTAGCTGTAGCATCTAAATAGTATTGACATATAATACTTTGTTGTATCTCCAGAATGTTGCTTTTTAATGCTGTCTATAGCAGTTGTTTTTTGGTTTTTTATTAAGAATGTAGATGGCAATTTAGGCTTGTTCCTTAAATTCTGCCTTTATCTTACAGATGTTTCAGCTGTTACCAGCATTTCAGTAACTTAGAGGCATAAAGTCTTAGTTCACAACATTTTCTTTTATTTTTTGCTTTGTAGGGAATAGTTACTCTTTCCTATCCATTAACAAAACTCAGAGATGGAACAGACTTTTTCAAGATTGTTCTTCAAGGTACTACATTTAAATATACATTTTTAATTTATAGTATTACATCAGTAGTTCCTGCTTTTGTATAGTGTTCAATAGAATGTAAGATTTAAAATACTCTCTAAAACTGTTAATTTTCTACAAAAAAAGTTTAAGATAAACTTATGCCAGGTGAGTTAATGGAAACAATGCAGTCTTTATATTTCAGTAGACTTCTTGTTGCATAACTTTTTAAAAGACTGTCCTGGAAATGTATTAGCTATATGTATAGCTTTAACAGTGTATTTTCAAACTGCTTATCATAAGAAGGACCAGGGAAATTGCACATATAGTAGTTACCACATAATATATATATATATCGCATATACTGTGTAAGGGCACATTTAGTATAGGTCAGTATTTTGATTAGCAGCAAAATATTTGTGTTTCATTCTGTTTTAATTTAAGAACTTAAGGAAATTTCAGCTGACTACTCAAGTATTTGAATGCTAGTAGCTAGATTAGCTTTTTGAAGGACCTAAATTGTTCATCATGTAATAAATGATGCAAAAAAATAATACATTCCTTTCAGGTCTTAAGCTTGTCATCCCCTCCAGTCAGGAAGATGGAGGAGGTAACTTGTCAGGAATCTACTGCTGCCTGTGCCTGAGCAGCAGTCCTGGGTTGTGCAGATCCTGCCTGGTTCTGCAGTTGTGGCTGGTGTTAGCAGAGGTGTTGAATTTCTTGTGACCCTAGCCAGTCTCTCTACTGGCTCCAGAGTTCTCAGAGGGGTGCTTAACCTCCTGCTTAACCTCCCTGAGTCTTGCTGATTTCAGTGACTGTTCAGGAGAGGAGAATTTATGCACATTCTCCATACATAAGATTGCACATCTAAATCTTTGAAACAGTAAAAAGTAGAAAACTTAAAATAAAGATATGATTTCTGCTCCTGTCCTCCTGGGAGGCTATTAATTAATATTTCTGTGTCCTAGAATATCTTCAGTTTATAATAGATTCTACAATAGGATCTGTGTTAATGGGACTGCATAATATTTCCTTTCTAACACTATACATTGAATTATCCAAGTGGAAATCTTTTTAATTTCTGTTTAATTGTACACTGGTGTACAACATTCACATTTTAATCCTCTTACGAAGAATATTCTGAGCAACATACCTGTAGTTAGTACATTTCCTGTTTGTACATTAACTGAAATGTGTTAGACTGTTGATCAGCTTGTTTTGTAAATCTCTTTCCACTGCTGTTTAGTTTTGGAGAAGGTATAGTGATTTGAATCACTTTTGCCTTTTTTCCTGTAGATTCGGATGACTTGTGTTCCCAGATCAACAGCATCAGTGTTTTAATATATGGAAAAATGGCAGAGGATTGTGCAAAAATTATACACCATGGGGTAAAAAAACCACCAAAACATATATACATATATATTCTTGTCATAGGAATTGTTTTTCACAGATGTATGTTGACTTCTTTCCTTGTCTTCTTTTATCCCTAAAATTAGAAACAGTCTGTTCAGTCCCTTCAAATCTATAAGTACAAACTAGAAAGAAAAAAAAAGTATTTGCTTATGTAAATTATTTCTCACACTAATATTGAAATAAAACAATTCTTTTTATCAGTTTTGTTTACCTAGCAAGCAAAGGATCATGAATATGGATAATAGAGAAGTCACTCATTTATATTCGTATTTTGAATGTTTTGCCATTTGATAAAATATGTTTTACAATTAAATTCACTTAAAAGACAGTTATACTAAAAGATTTAAAAAAAAAAATTCAAAACTGTCCATACAGAGTTGTTTTACTGACTTGGTGCCAGTGTCTTGCTTTGCCAGAAATAAAAGTTTGGTTAGATTGGCTCCAGGTAAGAGACTTAGACAAGTCAGCCTATGAATTTCTGAGACAGTGTTACCACTAAAGAAGGAAAACAAGATGAAAACAGTTATCTCAGTCTTTTTGTAAGATTGCAGATCAGTTTATTGACATGTCAGTATTAGCCAAATATGAAATTGAAATTAGTATATGATGCATTATGAGCTCATGTTAGTGCTTTTTGATTTGTGATACAAATTCACACTAAATCGTAGAATGGTTTGAGCTGGAAGGCACCTTTAAAGGTCAGCCAGTCACAACCTTCCCACCACAGGGAGGGACATATGGGCAGGGACATATTTCACCTCTTCAGATTGCTCCAAAGCCCTATCCAGTCTCACTTGGAACACTTCCAATGATGGGGCATCTACAATCTCTCTGGGCAAATTACAGTGTTTATACAGGTTTTTTTATTCCAAGGAATTTTGAATTTTGATGGGGAAGCTAGGGTGGAAAGTTCCTGAACTAATTTGCTAAATGTGCAAGCTGCAGAATCTTTTTAAATTTAGTGAACAAATCAGTTTTGTCCTGATAAAAATACAAATGTTGAACAAGGCACTGAGCAGCAATTAGAAGAGAAAAAAATCATTACTAAAGAGCTGGGTAGAAAACTACAACCCACAGGCAACAACCCTTAGCTGAGGTGCGTTAAAATCTCAATTTGTTCTTCCCCGGTGAACTGAGCCTTCGTGGTCTTCCCTCATGTCTCAAATGAGATTTTAATTTTGGAAGACTATGAGACGACAATGATTTCTGAAGCTAGCAGAGTTTCATAAAAAGTCCCATTTTTTAGCCATTTAAAAATTACTTCAGTAAGGTCTGGTACTGCTTATTTGCTGTATGCCATTTCAGATTTTAGTATTTTTTAATTTCCATATCATTCTTGGCATAGTAGAAGAAATGTAGCTGAGTAGCTGGGGGAGGAGCTGGCAATTTCCAAAAATATGAGTAACCATATTGTCTCCTGAGAGTCTTCTCGATCTGTAAGAGAATAACCATCAGGAAAAATATTGTCTTTCCTGTATTTCACACTTTCCGAATGAGGAAAATAGAATTTTTTTTGCCATTTAAAGATGTTGTTTGAATGTCATCGTTTATTTATGCAATGCACATCTGTTGACATGAATATCCACCAATTTCTATAAATAGCTTTGATTCCCGAGCCAATTACAAGATCTTCTTAGCTAAAGGTGAAATGGAAACTAATCTAGTTTGAAACCTAATTAAATATCAAGGCACTGTGCAAATATTATGAAAATTTTTTTTGCATGTTTAGAAACTGCAAGTCACAACCTGTCACAGTTGACTGTGAATTTGTAAGAAATCTGAGGGTGTATCTGTTCTTTCTACCTGTAGAACTAGATATTGAGGTTAGTGCTGTCTTCCTTATGGAATTGCACAGCCCTTTCACAGTCTGAGAGGGATTTTGTTTGGTTTTTTTAATGTGGTGCTACATATGGCATATGTCTTACATGAGAATAATCATCAGTGACCTAATACTACTCAAAATTTTTTTCATTTATTGTCAGCCTGTTAAAAGGCTGAGTCTGTGTAATTCTGAAGGTCCTTCTGACACAGGAGAAGTTACCTGTACAGAGCTCCAATCCTGACTCAACAGCCACATCCCAGAATATTGAGCAGTCTATGTTCTAATAAAATGCTGAAATGGGAAAAACTTATAAGCAAGGCATAACTTTTTAGGTAAAGGTTGATTTTACTGTTGAAGGAACATTCTGGTTAGCATCAGCTAAGAGTGAAAGTCATTGTACTAACATTGATTTTGACAAAATTCATGGAGTTTCCTCAAGTTTTTATTCATGTGTTTCTGTGTCTGGAAAGACTGAAACAACTTTCTTGTATGTTAGTAGGACAGTCTGTTAGCGGTGCAAAAAGAATGCTGAGTGTTTTGCCATGTTTTAACTTAGTTTTGACTTACTTTTAGGTAATAATATATAAACCTAAAAGGTTTACCTAAAGGTTTCATCAAAGTATACATTGTGACATTACCTGAAAATCACCATGCCCTAAGTAGTTTCATTGTGAATTAAACTGTCTGATTAAATTTATATTTTCTGCAGATTTTTTCCCCCCAATGTTTTAATAACTACATATATCACTGTCACTTAATCTAGAAGCCTTTCTTTTTCTTGCCCAAAACATGAAGGTTTTAGATCTTAAATCATTTAGCATAGCATTGTCAGATTGCTGAAATAGCAAAAAAAGTGCTGTCATAGTGCAATATTTGGCTAAAACTGTCAACTTTAATCAGAAAGCTCTTTTATATGTTGTAATCAAATAAACACATGAAGAAAAGTTACTCAGTAAAAGTTTATGGAAACGCTTTTGGTAGAAGCTTGAATAGAAATAGGCTTCCAAGTCTAATGTGTTTTGGAGCACACTGGCACAGGCCAGCTAAACAGTTCTGATAACAGGGGGAGCTGACTATAAAGAAGCTTTACATTGTATCAGATAGCTATCTTAATCATCTCTGATTACCTAAAGATATTTAATGTATTTTCTACCTTGTCCTCCTTTTTAATTTTTTCTTTGTTTTTTTCTTTTTGATGTGGTGAGGTTGCTGCTAAAACCATGAGCTGCTTCTGGGACTTGCCATGTACCCTTTAAATCCTCTTTTTCTTGTTCATTTTGTGGTGTCTGAGGAACTTTGTACTGACATGAAAATAGAGTTACAATTGCTTCCTGTGCCAGAATCTCAGCAGTGATCCCAGAGAAGTTTGTAAGGTCTCTTTGCTAAAAGAAATCTACCTCTTGATTGAACTAGGTATTTAACCCTTCAGGAAGATGTTGGTCCAGCCAAAACAGAGTTTATAGGAGAGTTTCTTAAAAGTACAGCTGTGATTCAATGAGAAAGGAGCTCTAAGAAAAAATGTTTGATCACTGTTGGTCTGACATGTGATTTCTTTTCTACTTTAGTTAAGCTAACCAGAAAGGAGTCAGTCTTCAGTGTATTCAAAGAGGAATGATTCTCTTGCTTTATGCAGTGTGAATCTTCCTCCTTAGGCTTTATCAAAAATAGCACTCAGTTATAGTAGCATCATGGGTGTGAAAATTTTAGCAGAATTAAAAAGAAAAGCTTTCTGGCATTTGTTGTAAATATGAATTCCATGGGTAAAAGAACTAAATTGAGAAACTTAAAGACAGGTTTTACAATTTGTTCAGGGTTGTTGTTTCTTCAGTGTCTCGAGACTTCAGAGTGAATTTTCACATCATATAGTCTTAAAATAGAGCATGTGTTGGAGTCCGTAATTTTCTGTTTATTGCTCTGTTCCCATAGGAAGCCATGATAGTTGCAGGATTTAAGGTGATAAAATTGCCTACAGCGAGAGAGGATGGTAGACATGAGTGTCACCTGGAAGTGTCTGAAGATGCTGGATCATCCATTTATGTATGTGCCCAATCTTTTCTTTTCCAAATTTTGCTTTATAATAGAAAAAAAACAATAAAACCTATTAGAAACTGAAACGGTACAGATTATTTTACCATGTTAATCAGGAAACATGTCATGTTTGTGTGTGTGTGCACATGTAATTTTATAATAACCCTAAACAAATTATTTTCCAGGTAAATTTCTACTTGTTGAGTGCATGAATTTGACTTTAGTTGACTTTAGATAGATTTCTAGAGTTGTTTCAACTACTCCTAACGCAAATCATTAATTGTTGCCTTTTAAATAGATGGAGTGCTATCATCTAAATTTTATACAGAGAATTATACCCTTTTGTCCTGAGTAAAATATTTGTTCTTTTATACTGCTCTCACATCAGTTCTGTTTAGTCTTATCTGTACAGTTGTTGTCTAATTAAATCCTAAATTTAAGAAAAAAAAATTTTTTTTTTTTTTTAAATCTCAGGCACTTTTGTTTTTGAATTGACTTCTACAGGTAATTAAAAGTTGGCACACAGCTCAATGAGAAACAAAATTATTTAAAATGATAGTGCAGATTGTATCCTGCATTCATTATCTGTTGATGATGATGATGATGATATATAGGTAAAAAGAGTATTTTTCATTGAAGATGATGGAAAGCAAAACCATCCTGAGCCTGAATAGGTGTGTGTAAACTAAGTGTCTAAATTTTAGAATCTACCCAAGGCCTTCAGCTGAGTATTGGCAAGACCTCAGACACTGGGCAGCCCCCTGAATGCCTGGGTTGTGCTGTTTCTCTCATCATTGACCACAGAATGGAGCATGTGGTACTTTGCTTGATGACAGGCGTACTGGATGCATAATAGCATTCATACAAATGATTTCATGTGTGCTTCACTTCCTCAATCATAACTTTTCACTCAGCTGTTTAAAAGTAAAATCAGTTTCAGGGATGCAGCTGAGGTGGAGAGCAAAAGCAGATCCCTAGCAGGAGTTGGCAGTGTGGGGCAGGGAACAGCTGTGACAGGGGCTTTGTGGCAGGCTGGGAAGGCAGCTGAGCCCTGTGTTCCTCACAGAGAGTGGGGCTTTTCATCAAATCACTATGATTAGTTCTTTACAAGACCGTACATTGAAGATAAGTCTGGCTTACAAGTTAAGTCTCAGAAAGCTTAGGAACTATCTTTAAATACAATTTATCCCATTCTGGTGAATTTTTTCTCCCAAAGGAAAGTAATGAGTCACTGAGAATAGATCTGCTCTAAGCACTGACATGTACATACATCTTTATGTACAAAACCTTAAACCCATTTCTGGTCTTCGTTAAGCAAGTGCATTTTTAAGTTTGTGGCCTCCAACTTTCAAATGCTGCTCTATTAATGTCACCTAACATATTCAGCTACACGGCTTTAGAAAATGTGTGTATTTTTTTTGAAGAAGCTTTTATCTGAGTGTAATTGCAGTAAATACTTTCTTCTGTAGCTAAAATTTTACTAGATTCACATATGATTCTTGTGGGAAAAATGGCTGTGGGGCTGGTTTGCATTTCCTTACAGTGTTGTATTTGCTTTAAAGTTTTCAAATGTTATATTTGCAGTATTATCAATTTTATAATCAGAAAGTGTGTTATTTTTTCTCCACAGATTTGCATTAAACCAGGAACAACTGCTGCTTCAGAAACTGCATCTGTGGTGAGTTTGTATTTGTGATACTTTTAAATCACATGAGATTAACTGCATGTAAATAAGAAGGTGTGGCATTCATTTTTGTTCCTGTTTAATTTACTTCTGTTCTCTTATCCCAGCAGTCATTAGCTTTTACTTTTGCAAATAATATACCTGGAACACAAAATAACATTTGAAAAAAGTAGTACATTTTCTATACTTGTATAGTTCCCATCTCGATCTCCAAATGGACTTCATGTTGCTTTAGGAAATTTGAACTAGAAAGGTAACTATTGGTCTAAATAAGATTGTATGCTTTTGTTGTAAAACCAAAAAAAAAGGAAATATTAAACTTCCTTTGTTTTAAAATCAGACTTCCAATACTGGTCTTAACATTTGTTTTGATTTCTGTTTGGAGCAAGCCCTTATGTGTCTAAATTAAAATTCTACAATAAATAGTATTTTAAAGACAGAGGAACTGGTTTCTGAAATTGTAATGGTCTTTATCATGATTTTAAAGATTCAGTACCAATGGTGATAGAGCTCATTTTGAATTTTTATTTACCAATGGTGATAGAGCTCGTTTTGAATTTTTATTTACAGTCTCGTTTTTTCAGTATAGTACTTGAAAATGTAAGTTATCAAGCAGTTTGAAAGAACTTCTTTCTTTAAAATAATCTAATCAGCATATATTACAACCTTAAGATGAGAGGAGAATAGTCCTTAAACTGTAGAATGTAGCCCCTAATTTCTCAAATCTGCCAGAATTGTGGTATTTTAATCAGATATGCACAGTGGCTGTGAGATGGAACCCCCGCACCAGCCCAAGACAAGGAGTCTGTACAGTGACATTGCCAAGCAGAAATACAAAGCTATTTATGTTTGTGCTTTAAAAAGTTCTCTGGATGGACATGTTAAAATGGATCAGTAAAAAAGTCTCTTTCATTGTTCTTTATTGTAATGACTTCTACTCACCTGGTTCGTGTATTGAAACTTATTCAATTAACTGGTTGGCTTATTGTAAGAAAGATGCAATCCCAGAAAGAAATTAAGTGTCTTGTGTGCTTTCTGAGTCTCAAGTGAATAAGATACAAAGAAATAGATAACCTTTATTTCTTTAAGATGAAATAATTATGTCTGAGGATGAATGATGTTAAAAGGCAAAATTCTGTGTGAATGTTTGAATAATTTTTTCTTTTGTTCCCTCATTGTATCATGCCTTTTCAGTCTGTTGCTCCAAAATATGTTTATACTCCCCTCAATCATCTAAAAGATGGAACTATAGTGAACTTGTATGGCGTTGTGAAATTCTTCAAGCCTCCATATATTAGCAAAGGAACTGGTATGTACTATGTTCAAGACATTTGAAATCTCCAGCCAGAATTGTTCTTAATATGTTTGTTAAAAATCAGCCAAAACAACAAATTCACCTGATCCTTTAACCATAGTTTTGACCAGCTAATACCAAGGAAAGAGAAGAACAAATAAATGAGAGATACCAGTCACTCCAGGCAGATTGGTGAAGACAGCAAATTAAGAAGGTTCTTAAAGGAGATTTGTCATTTGTCCAGCTACTTTAACAAGACTTTGGGCAACTGAGGATGTGGAACATCTTAAGTGGACAAGCGCTGATTGCTGGAAATCATTAGGGCAACTATTCTTTCCACATATATAAAAACAGTGAAGTTAAATGCACCAGCTTTCAAAGCAGCATGTCTCTGAAGCAGCTAGGAGAGATTTTTTTTTCTGCTGAGTCATTTGCCAAGTTAATCACTTCAATTTCTTAAGCAGTAGAAATTTAATAGGGAAAATGATTATTTATTTAGCAACTAGTCCTTGCCTAAATGTAATTAATAACTTCCTAATATGTCTTCCCTGTATATTTTCAATTGACATTATTAAAATAGCACAGTGTAGCTAATACTAAAATAGTATCAGTAGAGAACAGGGATGCAATCTGATATTTCTTATTTATGAAGATAGTTGTAATTCACTTGCTACTTTATAATGAAAATCTCTAAGACAGTTTTAATCAGTCTGGGGTTTGGAGTAAAAATATTCACTAATCAGTCAAATATTTCAGTGTTGGTTTTTGATTTTTTTGCACTATCCAGAGTGATGATTGCTTGAGAGGGTACAAAATGGTCAACGATTGTTCTGCATTGTCAGGGCACAAAGTGGGTCTTGTCAGAAAATTTTGTGGTTGCTTTAGATCTGGCCCAATCCTACACCAATGCATTCTCTGTCTGACACAGTAATAATAGGATCATATAGCTTTTAGCTGGTGCCCACTGGAAGCACAGAAAGTGGGGCCACTGTGCTTTATCCAGATGGATTTTTATTCACTATATAGGTATGTTCTGAGGTATAAGATGCTGCTTCTTCTTACACATATTAAGGCTTAAGGATGAGGCCTTGCTCTGTGTTCCCATTGAAGGTGGGTACCACTGGACTGGTGCCTAATTTAATCTGGTTGGTTTATATAATCTATAATTAAAAGTTCATCATTTCCATTGCCATGATTGCATTAGATGAATGTTAAAACACTGATGAATGAAATGAGTTTTCAGTAGGTTTATAAATTATTTTTTACAGATTAAGTTGTTTTAGCTAAGCATGCTTTTGCTTGAGGCATATAGACTGAAATGTCTGTATATGAGAGCTTTATGAGTTCTGAAAACTGTCCAAGAAAGTGCTTTGGGTCTTGCTTGGTACAAGAGACAGGCAGGATTTTGTCTGCTAGAAGATCTGTTGGAAGTGTTCAAAATTATATTCTAACTTTCCTTCCCCAATAGTTTAAGAGTCTTAAGATATTTTAAATTTTTAACAAAGATTATATTCTCCTCTCTCCCCTCCCTTACTCTTTAGGATATCTCAAGTACTTAACCTTGAGATTTAATAGAAAAGAGAAGTAAATAGAAGAAAAAAGAGCCTCGGTCTTTGTAGTGTCCAATTACAAAGATTATGTGCTTGACCATGAAAGTTTTAGGATGTTATAACGTGACACCTACTGCTTCCCCAGCCCTTTTTTTTCATGTAGATATTGGTCAGTATTTTCCATAAAGCAGGGAATAATGAAGAATCCTTGCTGCTGGTTAGCAGTGTCACAGCATGAATGTCCTGTTTTTCTGAGGAAACCTCCATCTAGCATTTTATCATAGATGCATGCAGTCTATTTGTATGTCACGTGTTCAGTTAAAATCTCATCCTACCTAGACATGCATTGTAGATTGTAACTATTTTATTTTTATGAAATATTTCTTAGAATGAAAATTAATAAAGGATAGCAATTTGTAAAAGATACTTCTAAAAAGCTTGGCCACTTCCAGGTCAACAGTTTTACGTGCCCAAAATGCAGATTAAGAATCAAATCAGATTCTTAAAGAATTTTTGAAGCCCTAAGTTTTATTTTTATTTTCAGTTTTTATTTGATCTTGAGCCAAGTTAATCAGACAGCCCAGAATTTGTTTAAAATTATGTAGCTGAAAGAATGAACTCTAATTTAAACTATACCGTTTGGTTAACTTGAATTACAATAGTCAAATTTTAGCAAGTAATAGCAACCAACTTTACAGTGCAAAGCAAACCCATCACAGAATGTTGTGGTATCCATTTGTGAGGAAGCAAACTTAAACCTGTAGTAGTTCTTCCTTCAAAGTACTGTATTCCATTTTGGGTTTTTTTTTCTGAATCAAAATGTTGAGGATTTATTTAAGTTTTGCAGAACAGAATAAAAACAGTTGCAGAGGTAAAGGTAGCAATTTAATTTCTGGACCCTAGAGATTAGAATAATGTTTTCCCTTCTGTTCACAGTGGTTTATATGCATTTCTTTTTTTAAATAACCACTCTTTCTTATCTTCAAGTGTAGAAGATAAATAAAAGATATTTAGAGGAATTAATAACAATATTAAATAGTTGAATAAATAATTAATAGAAATCTCAAGACAGTTACTTTGATCTACAGTTTAAAAATTACAGCATTGAAACATCTGTTTAGCAAGATGCTTCTGGTAGTTACCAAATGGTATCTCTAAAGCGTATCACCATGTTAGAAATAACAAGCCCTAGTAAAACAGTTTGGTTCTTCAGGGGTTTTTGTTTTGGGTTTCTGCAAAATGTATTTGTATGTACATATATACACACACACATAGAAGTGTGTGTACATTTTTATTATTTTTTCCTGTCTTTTTGAAGTATAAATGGTAAATTAACTAGGTCAGCTTCTTGGTGTTAGTGCAGACACTTGTGTATTGAAAGGCCTCAGTAATTCTTGAAAACAGTATTAAATGTTTCATTTAGTTTTGAAGAGAGAATAATTTGCTACAATAATCTCTGCCTTTTTTGTATGTATTGAAATAAAAGAAACAGAAGACAATCTTCAATTAGAGTCTCTGACTGCTAACAACATTGCCCAAAACCTTTTTATCTCTTGGAAGGGAGAAGTTATTGGTTCAGGGTAGTGTGTTTTCCACTAAATGTTATTGAGAAATAAATTCGTGATTGCCCAAAAGGGGATGTGTAATTAGATTAGTGCTTTCCACCTTAACAATTTATACAAGCATATAAGTCGGAACTGCTGAAGTCCTCAGTAAAACTATAATAAATATTTATTCAGTAAATTCTAAACAACTTGTTGGTCCTACAATATCAATAGCTACTAATCTGGAAAGCTTTTTTAGCAATTCTGGTTTTCTTAGGATGACTGAAAAATGAGTTGGTATGTGAAATTGTGGGGTTTGGGATTTTCGTGTTTGTTTTTTATCTATCTGTACACACTGTGGAGAAATGCTAGATTTCTGCTCATGATAATAACCAGCATAACAGAGATTTCCATAAATGATTAGAAATGCTACGGAATTGTGAAAGGAAAGTTGCAACCTGAAGAATGAACCTGGACTGTCATGATAGTGGAGGCAACTTGAGATTTTCAGTAACTGTTGCAGAGCTGCAAGAGATTTCTATTTCAAACTATTTAAAGGACCTAGAAGCTTGACAATCAGCCTTCTCTATGCAGACTGTGTAACCTTCTCATATTTGGTAATAGTTGTGGATTTTTTTTATGAAATGAAATAAAGAACTCATTAGCAAATTATAGCAGTTGTATTTTTAAAGAACAGTAAGGACTAATCTGGAAGAATATAAGAAGCATGTAAGACACATGCAGACTATCACGCTGTACTTTCATTTAAATTAAACATGAGTTATGTCTCCTTGTTTTTGTAACAATTGTGGGATATTACAAGCATCCTTACAGGTAGCTGTCCATGGCAGGTGGTTCCTCATGTAATATTAAGCCTAAGTGAGAACACCCCTTCATAATAATAAAATATATTTTAAAAAAGAGGTAAATGCAGTTTGTAGTTTTGTGTAGTGTCAGCTGAAATGCAGTGCTTTTACCAAGACAATCTAGTGTGAAAGTAAAAGGCTTTCTGCCATAGCATATAAATTTGCTGAACTGTGCATCCATTGTGTCATATTTTGAAGTCAAGTTATTCCAAATAACATCCACCAGTGGTAAAATTTTTTTAAGGAAGATCAGTGAATTTTTTTTTAACCAGTGGAGTGAATTTCTGTAGTAAAGGAAAATTGACTCCAATATGTAAACTTCCATTATTTATTTATTTGTTAGCTTGGTAATGAGCAATGCTTTGTTGGAGGGTACATTGAGAAAAATCAAAAGTGTGACCAATGGCATTATATTGTTTTGTTTAACTCTAGGATATTATTTAAATTCAGCAATTCTGTTTAGTGTTTGACTCACTATTTTTTTAGAAAATTAATTTTTTTCAGTGAATTCATACACTGATCTATAATGCTAGTGTGGAATATAGGAGACAATTTTTGCATTTCAGCTGAAAAAGAAAAGGCAGGTGACTTTTTTGTTTTAACCTTCAAAAAGGACTTTGTTGAATGAGGATTTCATTTTAAAAAGTCTTTATGCTTTGTTCTCAAAGACCTCTATGTAATTAAGTTTATAGAAGTGATGTTTTGAGTTGATAGTAAGGAATAGAAGTCTAAAGTCACAGAGACAGAGAACCTCTATTATATAAAAAGTGTTTCCTGGCTATGTAAAGCAAGTGTACTATACTATACTGCTCTGACTAGGATGATTATCAGTCCTATATGATTATGCTAATTGCACAGCAAAATTGAGACAGTGTGTTAACTTCTGCTATTAAGTAGGCAGCTGCACATGTATGAAGCTGACTAGGTTGTATAATCACAGCATCAAAGAGTAACCACAATTTTAATGTGGAATGTTTTTGCTATTTCCCCTTGATTCTGATGTTGGATTATATCAGTGCACTGTAGCATGTTATTCTTCATCCCCAAAGGATTGTAAATCCATGAACCATATGGGTTTTTCTTCTTAATTGCTCATTTTGCACATATTTGCAATATAACTTTTAAGTTAACCTCTAGAATTCATACCCAAAGAAATACATCAGTCTTTGGATTACAGTAGTAGATACTTGCAGTTTTGTCAGCCAGTGACTGAAATTTATTCTTGACATTCCTAGCATAGAATTTCAAAATAAACTCTATGTGGACCTTGTGCCTTTGGTGGGAACGTGGAAAAGTGATCTCAGCAACTTCTGAATGCAAAAGATGATAATTCATCATTATTGAGCCTGTGTAAAAATTCTGGGAAGGATGAAGGGTACTAGTTTTGTTGAAATACAGAAGGTTTTTGTATCTGTAGGCAAAGTTTTATTTCTTGGTAAGCCTTCACTGGATTTCTTTCACCACTTAATTCACTCAAATCATTAGGGCATTTAAACTCTAAGCTTAAATGATAGGAAAATTAAAGGGGATATGTGCTGGAAACAGGAATATTCCTTTAGAAGCATGTATTTTAATCCAGTCTTACATACCTGTCTTTATGTTTAGGGAATCTATTCAGAAAATTTTCATGTAAAAATCATCTTTTTATGACTGCCTTCCTGTAGCTTTTTTATATAAGGCAAATCTGTCAGTTCTACTAGACTGATACCAGGCATTCTCTTTCAAAGCTGTCTAGCATCAACTTCCATGTCTTTGTAATGTGCACAATGGGCATTTTATTGACTTTGTTTTAGAACCACAACACCTTTGTTCAGTTCCTAGCTATATAAACTGGCATAGTGTCATTGTCACTAGTTGCCTTATAGAGTTACAGCTCAGGGAAATTGGGGGTTTTGATCATTTAGATTTTTTTCTCTTCTGTTTGGGTTTTCTTTTTAAGAGTTGGTGTCTCTTGGAGAGCATACATGTTCTGTAAGCTGAAATGGAAAATACAGGTTTCATTTATGTCATCCACAAATATTGCTGTATTCTGGGCTGCATTGTCATCTTTGTATCTTGTTTTGATTTTACTTTTTAGATCATTATTAGAAATGAAATTCCATGAAGTTTAAATTCAGAAAGGCATATTTCATATTTTTACTCTGTTCTTGTGGTATATTTGTCTATCTTGCATATTTTGTTGAAGTGAAGGATATGTAATTTATGCTTTAATTTCCTTGTAGAACTCTTTACCTTGTCAGAAATAGTGCAAAATAAATCTTAGAAACTTATTTTATAAAATTGTAGATATGCTCCTCATTTTGTAGAACACGTAATTGAAACATGAAAGAATAGGATGCCTGTTCCAGACAGAAGAAAAAGGCTTGTGTGTCCTTGCACAAAGAGATGTGCTTAACCACACATTTCATTTTCAGTTATTTGGGCTAATTATTGGCAAGATGGGCCACACTTCAGTTATTATGATACTGTAAAAAATTAACTTTGAAAAAGTTAATATTTAAAATGTCATAGTAGAAAAAAATTGCCCATAAGGGTGTTCCTCCCAAATTTAGTATCTGTGTATTAATAATTCCATAATGCCTGTTATTCATCCAGACACTTTTATATTTTACAGATTATTGCTCAGTTGTAACACTGGTGGACCCATCAAATGTGAAGTTAACATGCAGTCTTTTTAATGGAAACGTAGATTTTCTACCAAAAATTTACAAAGTTGGAGATATTGTTCGATTTCATAGAATAAAGGTATGTACTAGGATGTGTTTTTGTGCTTGCTTTTCTGCAGTGAGAGGACCACGGTAATAATTTAGTTCTACACATACAGATATTAACTCTTGGAGACACTGGATAAAACAGCTGATTGTTAAAACAGCTGTGGTTATGGTATGGACCAAAACTGAAAGTAAACAATGACATTTTTTCAACAACAGTGTTTATTAAACTACTTGACAAGAAATCATGTGGTACTTCTAGATGGATAGAGTTTAACTGACATAAATTGGCACATTTTAGTCCTGTTCAAGCTGATAGAATTGAGGAGTTTCTTTAGGTCTTCTATTACGGAGCAGTTTAGGTCAGCTGGAGAATTACTCCAGTATAGCAAATCAGTCTGGGCTTGTTAGTGTGCAGTGTGCTCCTGCTGCTGCTTCAGTGTTACCCTGCATTACTTCCTATCTGTCTGTCTGAAAGGGCATGCAGGAAACTGTTTATAGCTCTGGTACTGCTTCTGCTGGCTGTTTTTCTTAAGCCTGCTGCAACTGTATGGGGAGGAGGAATCAACCTACAGGGACTGAATGAAAGTCTTGTAATGCTGGATCATACATAAAGAGGTGCTTAATAGGACCAAAGATGTGATTTTACCATTAATTTGCAACATAACCGTACGTAATTTTGTATTTACTTTTTGTGTAAAATAATTATAGCGGAAATTAATAAAGATAATGAAAGAGGCCAGTGGCGGGGGCGGAGAAAAAAAAGAAGAGCCCAGTTTGCATATCTGAACACTCTTGAGAGTGTTCTAGGAAACTTGAGAGACGTAGGAAATTTAGGATTGTACAAAAGGATGATTAAAGGGATAAATATCCATAGTCCTAAGCATGTATATTTTGATATGCTGTAGCAGGAGAACAAAGAACAAAACCCCATGACAATAAATGTAAAAAGTAGTAAGATTTAGCCAGTATTTGAGTTTCATACTGCTGAGATTGTTACGAAAGAACTTGTTAAGATTCAGAAACAGTCTAGAGTTATTCCTCTATATTATAAGTATTTACCATTGAGAGAGAAATTATCTAACCTATTCTGAGTTAGTATAAGGTTTCTCTGAGGTCATCTGTATATATAATGAGAGTGGAATTATATTGTATTATTATATTTTGAAGCTTGTGGTGCTGATCAGTACTTGAGATGTGTTATCAGTCTTGGAAGTTCATGAATATGACTTCAGATGGGAAAGTCTTACACTAAATTTTAATATTTTCTCTGAAACCATCAGGGTGAATGTTGTACAGATACATTCAGTTTAGAAACTCAGTGGAGATAAAAACTTGTTTATTGCTTCTGAAACAGAGTATGTCTTTTATATATGTGGAAAAAAAAAAGTAGAAAGGAACTGGTCAAAAAGAAGAATGGAAAAGTTGTATGGCTGTGGTAGGTCAGTATTGGATTTCTAAGTACACATTAAGAAAATAAACAAGACCACTGTCAGGAAATTGATGTTTGCACCCTCTTTTATGCAAACATAGTAATGTCTAACTTCTACTATTTATTATTATCACAACCTTACTAAGGATACCTACTGATACAGCCTACCAGTAAGGGACCTCACTGTTCTGATTTGGCATCACTTTTTTAGGAGATCATTCTAGAATTCTTGTCAGTTGGTACTTTTATCATTCTCCAGGATGATGTTCCAGTATTTAAAGAGAAGGTCTATCAATTTGCTTCTCTTATTTTTTTTATTTCATCCCGGTTGAGCTGTTCTAAGTAGTTTCCAGTCCTAACAGACCTCCAGCTGCTCACAATCTATGTCTCTTCTATATCTCTCACTCTTCAGATGAGCTCAGAGCTTGTTTAATTACTTTTTAAATGATCTAGGGTTACTAAGATATCTTTTTCTGGATACAAATGTTCTGATTACCCCCAACAAAGAAACAGGTATTTTGGAAGTTTTCATATCTGATCTGAACAGGTGTAAATCTGACACGAAAGGTTGGTGTCAGCTTCTGGGAATGAACTGGGAGAAGGAGGACTTCATCTTTCATCCATAAGCAGCATAGTAGGTATGACTTGTAATTACACTTTCTGCAGTTCTTCCTTCATTCTTTCCTGCTTTTGTATTCAGGCCTTAATCACCTTCTCTCAGCTTGAATGGAAAGCAAGCCAGGGTAGCAGAGGCCATATTTTGTCAAAGCTGTGCTTATCTGTGGGGACATAGATATACACAGCCTGAAGAGCATGTGTGCACGTTCTATCCTTTGAGGGAGATTGAGGGAGCAGATGTGCTTTTGAGGGACTTCCAGGGAGTTGACATTGATAGCAAACACATCTTAAAAATTACTGCTCCCAGTTAACACTATTGGCTTTTAATGGACATCTTCTCCTCATAGTAACAGAGGTGTTGACAAGATCTGATGGTCAGAGCTAATAAGAATTTAATGAAGAGGATTCTGCTGGAATTACTGGGGATAGAGAGTAATTTAATTTGCCTAATATTTGATGCAGAGAAGGAAAATTTAAGCGTCTTAGTAATAAAACTGGAAAATTACCTAGTTTTAATTACATTTCTGTTAATATTTCTTGAAGTGTATCTTTATGCATGGCATCATATGATGATTTCTCATTAATTACAGAATTTAGTGATTCACAGTACTGTACCCAGGCTTTCAGCCACAATCAGTGCTCTGCAGAGATTGTGGAAGACCAGCCCCCCATCTCCCAATATAAAAGCCAGGCTGTGATCTATTTGTCTAGTCTCCTTCTATCTTCATGTCAAAGGAAGAGTTTTCTTAGGTTGATTTTTCTTGGACATTCTTGTTTATTGGTCACTGTGAATACTCTTAGTATCTTAGAAGTAATGCCTAATGGTGCACTTAAACTGCGGGAAGAGGCAATCTGCTGGAACTGGCTAAACCTGCAGTATTTTACCCTTCCTTGACTTATGAGTTTTGGCTGGTATTCTGCCTTTCATAAAATACTTCAAACCCTGCCATGATGATAGAATAGTTAATTTTCTCATTGGCTTTTCTCTAGTATTCCCTATTACTTCTGAGTGATTCACAAACAAGAACTTATTTCCTCACTTCGAGTGAAGAGATCTGGTATTTGATTTCCATTTTAATGTTTGAGAATTGGAAAAAGTGAGGCACATTCTTATTTTGGCATGCATCTTGTTCAGTGTACTCTAATACAAGTACAGTGTATTTGTTCAGTGCAGTCAGGATGTCCAGGATGCGTTCTGGTGGATCTTTTTCCTTAATATGTGGCATTGCAGAGCTGTGTGGTTCATGTGTAACACTTAGAGAATGAAGACAGAGACAGTGAACTCTATTACAAACTTCACTTGCTTGACTTTCTTGGCATTATGCAAATTCTGTAGCAACTACAAACACTTAATTCTCTAGCTTTTTGTCATAGTAATCCTGATGCTGTTCTCCTCTTCTACTTTCATTAACCTTAACTTCTGTACATAGGCACCAGTTGCTGTAACAAATGAAGTAGAAATTGTAAAGTTGTCCCTCTCTTTCTTAGATAGTACTGTTGCATCACCACTGCGCTTCTCAAGTCATGCACTGTGTAGGAAAATGTTCTATAGAAAAATAGGGTCATGGGGGTTATGGAACATGGTATCATAACATAAATGCATCATGAGCTGAACTGAGTTTGCACAGGCATCAGTAACTGTCATCTGCTGAACTTGGAATAATTATGGATTATAATCCTGTTGTTTTATCTTTGTGATTAGATGACAGAATAGGAGAATCATTAAGATTGGAAGTTAACTCCAAGACTATCATATCCAATCTTTGACCAAATACCACCATGCCTAATGCAGCATCCTAGATCTGTAGAATAAAAAAATGCAGGAAAACACCAGGAAAATCAAAATCCTTGCATGCTATTAATTCCATATTCATCTGATTTAAACTCTTTAGATTTACAATGTAAAAGCATAGTCTCTGAGCAAAAGGATTTAATAGCCACCATATAGACGGTTTTTCCTTTCATAGATCAGTAGATTGACAAGTGTAAGATGGATGTTTTGTTAGTGAGTTTCTAAGGTGTTTATCCACAGAGGAGGAGGAATCTGAATGTCAAGTATATGGAGCATGTCTTCATAACAACATAGAAGTATCACACTCCCTTTTTTGTTATCCTTACCAGTTCTGTTCTGTCTCTCTTCTAGTTCATCACTCTCCTAAATATAGTAATATTTAAGATAGCATTCGTTCCACTGTGTTACTTTACTTTGATCTTTAAACAATCTGCTGTTATTTCCAGGAGCACTCTTACTTTTGCACTTAGCTAGCAATTTCCTTGTCTCTTTATATTCTCTCCTTTAGTTTAATCCATTTTGTCCAATGAAAGTTGATTTCTTTCCTTCTTTCTGCTTAATAAAATATGGAAGGTACTGAGAGAAAGACACAGCTGAAATATCTGCTCACTTATTCCTGGGCAGCCCTAGCTGTAGCTGTCAGGTTGATAAGGATCGGGGCGGGGGGGAAGTCTGGAGCTTGGTTATACAGCATACTGAATGAACATTAAACTTTGGCAGAATATAGCTCCCAGATTCTTAGTGTCTGAGTAAATGTGGTCCAAATATATAAACTTGGCCAAAATCAGGTTTGAGACTTTCTGCTAAAAAGGATGTTGAAGAGTGAGGGTGTAGTCTGTTGCACTGCTACCCAGTTTTAAAATTCTTTTCAAAAGAGTGGAAGGAATCAATTTTTTTTTTTTTAGTAAGCAGTTAGGAGATTCTTTTTAATACAGAAAAAAACTACTTTTTTTTTTTTTTCTCAGAAATACCAGTATTACTATTGCTTTTGGCTCCCCTTCAAAAATTCTGTAAGGCATGCAACTCACTTTGAATGGAATTTAAATTTTAAAAAAGTATTTTTCCTATAGTAAATAATGTCAGGAAATAGTGACTGTAGGCAGTGATAAAGTGTCTCTGTAATTTGAAGTCTTAGCAATTTGCACATATGATTTTCATATCAGTACTTTTGGTCAAGTTACTGGATCAGGTTTTAAATATGTAGAAGATATTCCAAAATAATAATTTTTTAGAATTTCCTTAAATAAACTATGCCACTTTCTCTAAGGAATATTTCTAAATCGGTATCACAGTGCCTTCTGGCTTTTTAAATTATTAAACCAGAAATTATTTCAACTGGCCTAAGTGTATAAACTTTTTGCATACAAATTTTTCCACAAAATACTTGTTTCTTCAGGTGAATTGAATTGGTAAACAAAATACAGCGTATTGTTCATTTTCTTCTTTAATTTGTGTTTCCATTGCTGCAGATGTTTCTGACAATCTTATTTTACAGGCAGCAATTCAGGAATGCTAGAGGATAAGCTATCATTTATGGTCCCAATATCTAGATGTGTTCATCATGTCTTCAAAAAATCATTTTACTTCCATGTAACTATCATTGTTAATTTTCTTTCAGAAGGTGCCTGCAGACAGTTTTGATAGTTCTTCTTGTGATACTTAAACATATTCAGAATGGCTTAATTTATACTTCAAATTACTTCTCTATTTCATTAGTAGCTCTCTGTTCATACAGCTGGAGGTACAAGTAAACCAGGATTACATTATTAAAATATAAGAAAATATAATCAGCATCCTGTATTATCCAAATTTGTTTAGGCTATTTACTTAAGATGGGAGAACATTTATAAAATATAATGAAATCTACCAGATGCATTCTAATGGGTTTTTTTTCTGACAGGATACTTTCCTTCATACAAATATCATCAGTGACAATAATAAAAAAAATAAAGTCTTCCTTCTTAGTATAAAAACATGTACATTAGCTTGGTATATGTTGTTTCCCTAGGCATTTTTTGATATTCTATGATGATCTGTGACTGCAGTGGTTTCATAATAGTCCTTTGCTTCTATAATTTAACAATCAGTTTTGATGGAAAACTACCTTGGAGATGCTATTATTCCAGCTTTATACACTACTTACTATCACACTTTTCCATTTAGTGAGATGAATAACACCATCTTCAGTAAAAAAAAAAGAAAAAAGGATGTATTTTACTTTGCTGTAAATGTATTTATAAATATTTCAAGATTTGCTTCTTTTCAATAACCATATTCAGGATAGTGTTGTACTGCATAGAAATCAGTAGAGTTTATTGTCCATGCAGTTTGTTAAGGTGACATTTCACCTATTGTTCTTTAGTTTACAAAAACTATGCCAAAGATTCCTTCAACATGTACTGGAATTTACTTGTTTGGAACAAGCCAAATGCATTTTATCTGCTCCATTGTTGTCCCAGAGGATATTTTTATTTAGCAACCATTAACTACTGAAATTATTTAAAAGTTTAATGGAATTTTAAAAGTGATACCTGTCTGCCCTGCTTCCCTGTTAACCCCCTGCTTCACCCTCCCCCACCAATTTTTTGAAAGATATATCCATGTCCTCTAGAAATGACACAAAATCTACTGCAGGGGAATTGTTGTCATATGTAAAAGTCCCAGGTTGACTCTTTTGCAAATTTAATTCAAATTCAAAATTGTTTGGAAGATACAACATGTTTACAGTATCAATGCTTAACTTAATCTGATATCTACTTAAGAGTGCCATAATGAAACAACATTTGTCTATAGATTTTTGTTCATTTTACACTCCAGCAATCCCTCATCACTTTAGCAATGATTTGTTTCTAAAGGACAGGCCCAGAGAATTTCTGTTAACCACCATCTGTTCCATGGGTCCAACATAAGTAATTTTCCAGCTGTGAAATACTTCTTTCTGTAACCTATTCTACATTTTCTATTCCTGTTTCTTCTGTTCCTCACTAATATTGTCGAATTCTGTTTACATTTGAGAGGACTCAGTGGCTTCTCCACCTGCCTGTGACTGAGGACATTTGGTTTAGTTAAAGATCACTGGTAATTTTCTCATCATGACAGTTGAGATTTACCTTGTTACATATTTTATTTCTTTTTTGTTATTTTATTTTATAATTGCCTTTTCCAACATAAGGCTGATATAAAATTCACTAAATATAATTCACTAAATGAGGGTACTGGGAGATGTCAGAAGTACAGTATGTCAGCCTCCTCTATGCTCAAAGCATGACATGAAGGATTTGGGAAGAGAGGAAAATAACTTGAGGTGAAAGTTGTCTCCCTGGGTGGTAGCCCAGGGAGACATAGTGCTTTCTTTCTGTTTTCGTGGAAGGCTTAGAGCATTCATAGGAGACTAGGACACAGTTTTTACTAAGAAAGAAATCAAGGTATTTTTATGATGATTTAAAAGAACTAGTGAATAAATAAATAATAGGTAAATTAGAAATTAAAACACTTCAAGAAACATTTAACATTTCAGACAAGATACAAAAAATACTCTTGAAGTATATTTTGATACAGGATGAAGAGGTAAAAGTGATGAGAGTTTTCATCAAGTTTCATTCAATTGATAGCAGCTAAAGTAAATCTGTGTGCTTAAATTAGATAACATCTTACAGGGGAACATGTTTTTTCCAGATCATTGATAATGTGGGGAAAAATGATTATGAAACCATGCATTTTCCATATTTGTCCTTTGGCTTTTTTTGTATTTTCAATATTTAAACATAAAGGTTAAAAGACTGAAGCTTTTCAGTGGTTCACTGAGGAAGAACTACATCCTGAATTGATGTGCTCCATTGGTCGAGTCTGAAGAATGCTTAAGTAAATCAAAGTTTATCTTAGAGATGACCCTTAATGCATTTATGCATTATGTCAGAGTACCAGGGATTAAAGGAGTTCTGTCACCAAGATTGAGCTGCTTTGTTTATGAATTTCCAAGGTCAATGAATGCCTGATTTGTGTGCTTTTAAAATTTCACTATGTTTATAAAATACAGGCCTAAATCATTGGCAATGTTTTGCTGTTTAGGACTTCTGATACATATTGCATGTTCTGCATTTCAAATCAGTGGGATTTTCAACCATTTGAAAACTGAGCCCTGGGAAGCTCATACTAGACTGTCTCACAGTTGCTGTGTTCATGCATGTTACTGCTTACTTGGTAACCCAACATTAATTAAAAAGGAATGGGTCAAAAAAGACTGTTTCAGATTTCAGGATAATGAGTCATGCAGTGCTTTGATATAGATAAATCTATAATTGCAGGGAGCAGTAAGACTAGACTGGACCCTTGAAGGAATGCTTCAGACTTTAAATACTGTGTTTCATATGGCAGCAGATGCACAGCTAAATTAGCAGGATTTAGGAGACCTGCCACGAGCAGGGCAGTAGACATTGAATAACTGTGATAGCTGTATTCGTAATTCAAGGAATGAAAGCTCATCACTATTTGCTTTATAGAAAAAAAATACCTTCTTGAGCTGATATATTTTTTTTCAGTTCCATAGTGTTGCGAAGCAGGGCTATTGGTGAGGGGCCAAAATCAGGAATCCAGAATAATTTTGCCATTACTCTGCTGTGTGACCCCTAACAATTAATTTCTCTAGTGCTTTAGTTTGCTCTTTTATAAGGGCAATCCTTATCTGTTCCCCACACAAATATTTTGATGTGTGCAAATAAAATACTCTGCAAAGATGGTGTAGGTATAAATGTTACAGGTAGTTATTGGTCTGCCTCTTCAGAAATTTCTTGTGTAAGGTTATATTTCTGCTTATACATTTTGTTTTCTTATTAATTTTACCTTTTTGTTTTGTTTTTGACTCTGTTCTCCCAATAGAACCAGGAACAGAGGTGATCAATGGTCCATTTTCCATGCACATGATAAAGCAGAAATATATTTGTTTTTCCATGTAGTGCAAACTGGTTTTTTTCTCATTCATATTTTATTACAGATCAGGGAATACAATGGACAGATGCAGGGAATTACCAGTGGGGGATTTGCATCCTTAACATTTGATGGAACTGTAGGAGCTCCAGTAGTTCCTCGAGCTTCTAGCAGAGACTACACTTTCTTGGATGAAGAACGGAAAACAATAGAAGAATTACGTATTTGGGCAGCCACTAATATTTCCGTCTCTGGACCAGCAACAAAATTGTCTGGTGTTGAGCCAATGCTGTTCTTTGATCTTACGTGCCAGCTGGTAGGAAAAGCAAAAGTGGATGGATCTTCTTTTCTTCTAAAGGTAGACTTCCTTTTTAAAAATAATTTGTTAGGTTTATTAAGACATTGTGATATATTTTTTAATAAAACATACATATTAATTGAAATAATATTATGTAGATAAATATTTTAGTGTAAGCAAATCTGTGATCTTTGGCTATTTCGATTCTATGAAAACAAAATAGAAAGCCCAGTTGTCTTTGATCACCTTGTTTGGTTTTTTAGAGAGGTTTATTAAGATGGCATTATATAGATCAAAATTTCATGAAGATTTTTAGATAAATAAAACTTGTTTAAACTTGTTTTCTAGTTAGCAGCATTTACTGCTTCTTTTTCTAGGTTTGCTGGATATGATTAGTGCAGTAAATAGCATGCCTAAAAAAGAATGAATGGATTATGCTATCATGATGGATTTCAGGTAGCTTCTTTTAGTTATACATGAGCACTTTGGGCATCCATGCTCACTGAAAGTACAAAATGCAAAGTGCCATGGAACAAGAGAGCAGATTCTTAAGGTGATCCTTCACATTAGCTAAATAGAAGGGAGGTCTCCATAATATTCCTAGTTTTAGTTCCAGTGTATCAGTCTGGTGCTCTGCCAGAATTCCTCTGTATTTATTTTTTACTTGACTGTTAAAACATGAGTAATTACAAGCTGTTATTTTCCACTTTATGACTTCATAAAATAATATATTGGTTCTACTGTGTTAAACTGTATTGTTAGAATATTTTTAGAAATAGCACTTGCCATTATTCCTTCATTGAAGCAGTAAAGATTTTTCTCATACAGAGCAATGCATTGCTACACAGAAGAAACCTTAAGTGCATGCTGTAACATATTCTGCAACTGCTACAAATATTTCCATTTAATTATGCCTTTTGAAAGAGATGTCAAATGAGACCCAGTAAATTTTCATTACTTTGTGGACTGTAATTAAGTTGTTCATCAATAAGTGTATCTTCAGCATTGAGGGACCTCCTGCAAGGATGGAGACAAGTCAATTTAATTCTTAAATTAATATTTTTTTTACACACTTTCCTGTGTTGTAACAACTGAAGTGGATTTTGTCACTTTTGTGTAGTAAAGGTGATTACTTTGGGAAATCTTAGGATAGACTTATGAAGGTAAAAGCTTGAGGTCAAATAATGGTACATCAAGTTTTTAGCATAAAATATTAAATACTTAAATATGTATTAGAATACATTGGACAAGCTACATTAATATTGTGTTGCCAATTTCCTCCATTTTTCAACAGTGGTAAAATCCATTTCTGATATCAAATACTGGTTGTGATAGAAAAGAAACATTTCTAAAAACTTGTAGACAGATCTCTGATTATTTTCTTGATTTGCTAAATAAAATAAACAAAACAACCAATTCAATATCAGCTCAAATTGACTGTTCATTAAATAGTGTTTTATTGTATAATTTTGTTATGCATTTTATAATTATTATTTGCATTTATTTTATTCCAAGTATATTAGGTAAATTAATGGTTGATTGTACTATTAAAAAAATCATGATTATTTTAAGCATTGATCTCATGTACCTGGTGGAGAGTGCTTCAAAGACAACTGAAATGAATTTCAGCAATTTTGTGCATCACCTGTAGCATAACTTTTAAATTACACTTGATAAATTAATTCCTATTTGCAAGGCAGTAGAGTTGGACAAGGCATAATCACTGACCTGTTACTGTTTACCATTTTATGAGAATTTTGTTATTCAGATTGGTGAAGACTAAAGAATACACTATAGAAATTATTCTGTCATTAATGCCTTTTATAAGAGTTTTGTTACTACTCTTTTCTTCCTTTCTGTCAGTTAAATTGTATACATTAAGGTAAGTTGTATGATGAGCATATTCTGCTGAAGACAGAAACAGGTATTTTGTCTCTCCCATTTCAGTGTTTTTCTACCATGGTGGTAAAATGTTACCACTAACTTTTCTTTAGCTCCAGTCTGTTCATGACTAGTAATAGAACCATTTGTTGTTTTTCTTTCAAAATTAATTAAACCAGTTTTGGATTTTATTCCAGTATTCGTTTTTGAAACCAGCACCAGAAAATTGGGATGTTTTCATGTTTTGTGGAAAATAGAGCTGCCAAGGTCCTGAGGTAGAGAGCTTTATCTGTTTTTATATTTGTGCAAGAAAAAACCCAAAACCACTAGCTTATAAATTCCTCTAAAAGGTGCCCTGGTGCCAACCCTGTTAGTTCCTCTGGTAAAGGGCATTTTAAAACTAAGTCACCATGCTTTTCTTCTGATCAGGGAGCATGCAGGTTATTTTAATCCATTTGTCAGATCATCTCTCCAGTGTACAATTACCAAAGTGTCTCAAGTAAAGCCAGTTGAAAAATAATGGAAAACTTGACAAACATAAGATTCTTTACTTCGTCAGAGTGACTAAATTTGTAATATGTATGCACTAAATCTGTTTTCAAGCTGAGTTCTGGAAAAGATGTGATAATTCAAGCAATAGACAACCTTTCTTTCAAAGGTGGTTTTAAGTATTTCATGGTACAGGATCAGAAGATAACAGGCTTGTTTAAATCTATGGCAGCATACACCACCTCATTATCTGGGTCCTTCAGAATTTACTCTTATTTGGCAACATAATTTGATGTCATGGGTCATTTTCGCTATGAACAGTTTTCCCTTTAATCTTTTGATTTTGGATGCATATTCCATGAGTTATTCTTAGTGCATTTATACATAGCTTTGCTGATTCTTAGATCTTTTCCTGTGGGCCTGTTGATCCAAAGCAGTTAAGCATAAGGGGAAGAAATCCTTTAAAAATTAGGCTTTAGTGTCTTTTTTTCTTGCCATCTGCAGTGCCTAACTCGTGGGACAAAGCACCTTGATATCACAAACTATCTGAAAATTGGAAGATAGGTTCTTCTGTTGAACATACATGTATGAAATCCTATGAAAAGCGGAATTTCAGAAGTATAGTCCAACTGCTTCTAGATTTTTGTTTTACTATGCCAGTATATCAAACCATTATTTTTGTGTCTTTGAGAAGAGTATATTTTCAGAAACTCAGGAAACTAGGGTTTACAGGATAATGTTTATGTTAAGAAGTAAGATTTTGTTTCAAGGTGTTAAGCCTGTCAGTAAGCTTACGTTTTCACAACACTTTGATAGCTAAAAAATAACTGGTGATATTTCAGTACTTGGAGTGTATCAAGTATCAGCTTTATACAAACAAGTTTTAGAATTATTGTTAATAAATACAGATTAAGTACTGATGTTTTTCCAATATGTTCTGGGTAACTAGCAGTGTATACTGATATAGGAGATCATCAGTAATAGGTCAGTAAATGCTGTGTACTCAGTTTTCACATACTGGAGTGGTTAAAAAAACCCTACAGCAGGATTAAAATATTAAGTGCAGACACTTCTGCATATGATGAATTTTGATAGTTGTAACAGCTGACCCTAAGATTGTCTCAGCTGCTCAGACCATGGTTCTGAGAGCAGCAAGGCTGAGGGTTCAGTCCCCATGTGGAGCATTCACTTAAGAGTTAGACTTGATAATCTTTGTGTGTCCTTTCCAGCTCAGAATATTTTGTCATTCTGTGCTGATGATAAACAGCTGAGGTTTAGCTAGAGCTGTTATTTTTATTTTTATTTAAATATTAAAAAATGCCAGGTCTTAGCAGTTGATTATATTCTCTGTTGAGGTGATTTTACGCTCTGTAAGGAGTAATAAATTAAAAATCCCTTAAGGTCTAATTCAAGTATTTTAATGGCTTTTAGACGGAGACTACAACTAAGATCTCCTATTATTAATAATTTTTAGTCAAAATAATAAAAAAATAAGTTGTTAAAGTCTGACTCTAAAGTATTCTGAGCACATTGAAATAGTTCATTACATGTATTGCAGGTTTGGGATGGCACTAAATGTCCCTACCCCACATGGAAGGTGCCTGTGGAAGCAAAAGACCTGGAAGGGGAAAAAGTTCTTCTTCATCAGCTGAGAAATCTAGCAGTGGACATTCTAGTCTATGATAATCATGTACACCTGGCAGAATCACTTAAGGTAATACACAGTTTGGTATTTCTCTCTCTTTTTGTGGCCTGTTTTCTGCTTAAAAGTTGCTTTTAATCAATTCAGTTCTGCTGTAATTAGTTTAATGTGCCTCTTTATCTTTTGCTGTATTTCCCATGCCTTTTATTTGAAAGCAAAACTTCAACATGTGTTAAACAGGCTCGTTACCCAAAAATTGCCATGAAAATATTCTTCCAATTAAGCACTTTTCAGACAATGAAAATAATGCACTCAGAAAATGTATTCTATGCTTTAGAATTATTTTTAAATTATACGATGCAGTGTTAAACCTGTAGTCCTGTTAAGCACCCTTAATTCCAAAGTCAATAGAAGATTTTCTGTTCTATAAGTTTCTGCAGTTTGCAGTGCAATCTTCATTTAGTAGGTCAGTAATGTTGATTGTGCCTAGATGGAGAAAACAACAACATAATTAAACATTAGATCTTCAGCAATACTGCCATCTTGCTTCAGAATACAGGAACTTGGCAAAGAATGCATCTTTCATTTCATGCCTTACCCTCTATGCTCAAGATTGTTTTTAAGAAAACGCTTACTAGAAAATAAAGAGAAGCAATAGCCTTTTTTTATGCTGGGTCTATCAGCAGACATGAAATTATTTTGATACATTAACACCCGTTCATAAGTAAATTACAGATAGCAAAGTGCAAAATTTTTTTGTAAGAATTCATAACAAAACTGACAGCAGTATTTCATTTCTTACAAGTTCTCTTCCAGAACTTTTTTTCTTGCTAACTGGTGTAAAAAACTGATGTTCTGCTGAAATGGTGTTTTGAATATGAAGGAAAAAAGTATTTTAATATTAATAAAACATATTTTCTTGAGTAGCTGATAATTCTTCCTTTATTATTCTCCCCCATTTATATTCAGAAATTGAATCACATACTGAGTATGTGATACGTGGGATATCTTCATTCTCTCTCTGAATTTTTTTGTTTCCTATCCACTTGCTCTTTTCCATTTCTGAAGCATTTTTACCTTTGCTGGATACTGCACTGTATAGTAGAAGATTTAATCATTTCAAAAGAAATTGTTAAGAATTTGACTTCTTTGACTTCTTGTGGGTGTTTCTCTCTTTCTGGCTATGTCCAAAGTTGCAGTAGTTTCAAATTAGATAATTTTTGTACACAACATTTTAATTGCTTGTCTTAGTGGAGTTATCAAAGAAAAAGAGCTGATATGCTGACAATTAAATTTCAGAAATATTTATTAATTGCAGATTGTAACATGTAGATTTAATTGTATTTCAGAGAATAATTTTTATACATATATCTATGTATAAAAATGTATATACGCACACACATATATATATTATAAAATTTGGGGGAAATTCTCCCTAAAATGGAGGATTTTATTAAAGGCTTTTAAATACTAGTGGAAATCATGTCATATCATAAAAAAGCATAAACAAAATACGTATGATATTTTATTGAGTTCAGGATCTTGTTACACAAAGCTATTTTTAAAAATTAATTTATGTAGCAGTACAGAACTGGCAAGTGTTTAGTGGATCCACATGTACCTTCACAAGTCTGATTAGATATTTTGCTAGTTTATGGTTTCAGAAACAGTTTATGGTTTCAGAAACAGTAAAAAGTGCACTATTTTTCAGTCTTGTCTTCTACATTTAACACTAGCTCAAAGTGGCCTTTTTCAATGTAAATTGTTACAAAATTGTTAGGTTACACTCTCGCCTCTTGTTGTGTACCATTTACAATAACAGTTGCAGCTTGGAAATTATGTTTTATGTAGGAGCAATCTGTTTTACACAACCTTGATAACAAGAAGGACAGATTAGAAAAAAACAAACTGAAATACATGTTCTTATTTTAAAATTGTATCTGTTAGGTGCATGTTCAGACAAGGAATCTCTGAGTAAGTACCACATGGCAGAGAAAGTGGGTAATATATTACAGGGAATTTTTGGCAAATCATGGAGCACTATGCCAGGGATATTGCTGCAAGAGTTTGTTAAAAACTCCTTGTTTATATTGTCTGTCCAGAGAACGCTGAAGATATGAGCACTTTATCTCATTTTCTAAGACAACTAATACTTTAAATTTTCAATGGAGAGAACTTTAAAGGTATGTTGAAGGTATATTGCAGGTGATACTGTAAGTAGAATTTTTTCCCCTATATTTACTGGCCTCCCTTTCCTGCTGGGCAGGGCTGTGGCTTTTCAGCATTTGGTGCCATAACAGAGCACAAAGAGAATTTTCAGAAATCTCCTCTTTGAAGCAGATTATTGCCTGGGGCATAAGGACAAGGCAAGACCTACAACTAAGCAAAGAAAATGGTGTTTACCACTTTTGCTTGAATTTCCCTTATCCTCTGGCAATGTACCTGGAGTGGATGAGGCTTTCTTATTGCTGTAGGAGCCCCAGCCTACAACTGTCTGGAATACAGTTGCTCTACATTGTTTAACCTTATGCCAGTTTTCCAGAACTTCTCAGGGTTCACTGACTTTACTGTGAAGTTTGGGAATAGGTCTATGACATGGGTTTCTCCATCTGGGGCATTTTGCTTGGGTGGTAAGCATCAAGATGAATGAGTGTCAGTGGTCAGCACAGTAGGGGTCCAGCTGCCCACAGTTGGTCAGAGGTTTCCTTATTTCTGGTTTTCACTGAATATATGATCCCAGTGCATTCCTCTTCTGGCTTGATACCATCAATTCTCTGTTGCCATGCATTTTATGGATAATGCAATTAAAACAAGTAACCTTGAGCATACATACATGTCCTAGTCCGTAGTTTCACAGTATTTTCTTTGTCTTATATATCTTCAGATGTAGAATTTGTCTATTTTCAGCTGTTTCTCCTATGACGTGACTATCACGTCATGTCTTTCATGATAGTAGTTTGACTAAACTAAGAAGTTTGTTTTCCTAGTGGTGGCAGAGTCACATTTTCAGCACACAATTCAAATGAGTTGCTACATGGATACAATGTCTAGCTTCATATTTTTCAGACCTAGGTAGCATTCCTTCAACCTGTGAGTTGTATTCTCCCTACTTCTGTCTTTTTACTCATTGAAAAGGGAAGAAACCTAAAAGACACCACTCTTGAGTCCTTTAAACTCTTAAATGGATTTGTTATTTCTTACTACCCAAGATGGTGCCTAAATGTCTCATTTGCAGAAAGTTGTGTGCTATTTACTCAGTAAAATTGGACTGTTGCTGCAATAAAAATGACGACAAATCTCACTGAATATAATCAACCATAAATATAGGCAAAATTGAGTGCAGGTGAGTTTGTTGGGTGATTCCTGTAGCTAAAGGGAGCTTCTTGTGTGCCTTTTTGGACAAACATGAATATTTACCTGCAATGACACATGCTGTTGTGAATTCACTGAATTCCAGTGTGATTATGAACACAACCCAATATGTATTGAAATAATTATGAGAATTTCCTATGCTGAAAAGTTGTTCTAGTTAACTAGTTGCAGGGAACTGCATATATGACTTAGGCATTTCAATTCTCTTTAGCCTTAATATGTATTCTTTAAATAGTCATATTTGAATTAGACTGAAAATAGGGTATTAGTATATTTTATATTACTGCAAGAAATGTTTTACTTACTTTAATTTCACTTTTAAATGAACTTCCTCTAAACGAGGTAGGTCATAACAGAACTTCTGTAAAGTCAAGTAATAGCTGGGTTTGTACTAGATTTTAGTGATGGCTCTGTAAATCACAGTGTTTAATGTAGATCACAATTTCTTCCGAGTCAGGTATATAAAGAGTGCAGTCTGCTGGCATTCTGTAAACAATACAGAACATTCTAATACAGTAACATTTTTATTCACAGCAAACACATTTGCTCTCTGCTGTTACAGTGAGCAAGGCTGCCTCCCAAAGGAATCCACAGAAACAGCATTCTGTCCACCCAGGCATCTCTGGGCTGACATTCGGAACCTTACAGACCTTTTTTGGTATTTGGCAATGCTGATTATTATGCATCTCTTTTTTGTAGTTCAAAGTGATATTAAAATACATAAAATAATAAAATTTCAGAAAAGGATCTAATAAATATATTCTTGGCTTCTGAGCTCTCCTCTCTCTGGTACTTAATTTTTTGTGTTCATACTAAAGAAAATAGTTATTTTTTATATACTATTTTTTATACAACAAAGAAATTTGTCAATTAAGCTTTTTTCTCTTAATATGCATATTACTCTTGATGGAAGGGAAGTAGTTTGACACTGTTTTATTTACGTATGCTTATTCCATAAGCAGAACTTAGGTGAGAACTTTTAAAAAAAATTCTCCAAAAGCATTTTTCATAGTCATTAGTCTTATGATATGAGTGTCCTTTGCTTTTTTTTGAAATTCATAATTAAGTAAAATCAGCATCTGGAAAGGAAAAAACAAAAAGTCTTAGGATAAGCCTCTTAACTGCCATCTAAATGCACAAGCTGTCCTGGTGGTGCTTTGAATGAACAAAATGAGCAGCCTACTAACAGTGCAGATCAATTAAAAGTCTGGTAAGAGCTCCATGCCAGAAGCAAAATAGGTGTGGGCTGAAGTGCGCCATTATGTTCCTGCTGCCTCAATTGGAAAATATGCTGCCTTTTTCATGTGTGATTATTGTTTAAAAAAGCAGTTTGATACCAGCATTATGTAGTCATAGTTTGTTCCTTGATACAGAGGAGGATTCTAGACACAGGTTGCTGCTCCATCTGCTTTTATGCATATATAAATGTGTTTAAAAGTGTTGTACTGTGATATGACCAATCCAATCTAATAGGAATATTTTTTCAGTTTCCACTGGTTAAAGTTGAGGCTGAAATACTACTTAATAAATGAACTGCTGTAATATTAATTTTAATTGAAGTAAATTTAAATTAATTTCTCATTCCTATCAGGCTATTTAAAAGATGTTTAGAATTAATATAAAACCAAGTTGTTGAGTGTGTGTAGCTTGTCAACTATTATCTAGATCTCATATTAAAAATTAAAAAAAAAATATTTGGTAACTGTGTAATTGAGACACCATGTTATGTGCCATTAGAACATTTGGCTTGGTTTTGCTTATTTGGTTGGGTGTGTGGGCTTTCTTTGGGGGATAATGGGAGCAATATTTTGAAATAAAAGCAAAGTTATAAAATGTGTTCAGTGTCCACCATGTCATAACTTCATTTTTAATAGGTGCTTGCATAAGTTAGCATAAGTCTGTTTGTGTAACTTGACAAAACTGTTTCAGAAAACACAAAATCATTCTAAACAAAACAGGAAGCATATTCTCCATGTACCTGAGATCTAACAGAGATAGGAGAAGTGCCAAAATCTTTCCGTTCCTAATGCATGTTGTCTTTTGTTCTGGTGCTAAAAAAATGTTATCTGTAATGTGTAAGAGTAAGATACGATGGAGAAATCTGAGTAAGCAGATATGTACATATACATGTAAACACAGTAAGCCATGCACGATGATGAGCAGGTCAATTGCTGAGTGTGATCATTCCTAGGCCAAATCACAGGATGTCAGTCTCTGTGGGGCTGTGTTGGGAATATAGAAGGCAGATTGTGCCCTTGTGAAAGGAGTGTTTGATCTGTCTTCTGAAGTGTGTTTGAGAATTAGATTTACCAAGAAAGCTTATTCTGGTTCTGAATCACCCTTTGCTGCCAGTAATGTTTTCTGATAAAGCAAAATAAACAGATCACACAAAGAGGTTTTACAGTTTCCATACCTGAAAATACTTAAAACTCATCTGGAAACAGTCCTAAGAAGTCTTCTCTAGTTGACTCTGCTTTGGGCACAAGATTGAGGTAATCGCCAGAGGTCCCTACCAGCTTCAGCCATTCTGTGTTTCAGTTAAAACAGGGACGAAGCTTCATGAGCACTAGAATCTTCCACGTAAATAACTAACTTTGTCTTATCAAAGTGGTTGGTTTTTTTCCTTTCAGATTGGAAGTTTTCTGAGAATTTACAGTATTCATACGAAACAAGCAAGTGCTGACAATGAAGATGTCTCACATATAGAATTTCATCTTCATGGTGGCACTTGTTATGGTCGAGGAATAGGAGTCTTGCCAGAAAGTAACCCAGATGTTAAGGAGCTAAAAGCGTAAGTACTATGTATGTGTAGGTAATTCCTTTTCTCTAGGTCACTCTTGAAAACTCTAGGCTAATGTAACAGCTATAGAGTTTAGAATTGTAAATGTATGTAAGAATCAGAAGCTCGAGAACAGAATATGTCTTTAGCACCACTAAGATGAACATATTTGGAGGGATAGGTAAGTCCCCCACTAAACCATGTCTCTAAGTGCAACATCTACATGACTTTAAAATACCTCCAGGGACAATGACTCCTCCATTTTTCCTGAGCTGCTTTTTTCAGTTCTTGTCAACCCTTTCCATGAAGAAATTTTTCTTAATACCTGATGTAAACCTCCCCAGGCACAACTTGAAGCCATTTTCTCTCCTTCTGTCACTTGCTGAGTGGGAGAAGAGGCTGACCCCACCTCAATACAACCTCCTGTCACGCTGTTGTTGTAGACATAAGTGATAAGGTCCCCCCTGACCTTCCTCATCTCCAAGCTGAAGCATCCCAGCTCCCTCAGCTGCTCCTCACAGGACTTGTGCTCTAGCTCCTTCACCAGGTCCTTTTCTGCTGAGCTCTTTCCAGCCACTCTGCCCCAGCCTGTAGCACTGCATGGACTTGTTGTGACCCAAGTGCAGTTCACCTTGTTGAACCTCATGCACTTGGCCTTGGCCATCAGTCCAGCCTGTCCAGAGTCCTCTGCTGAGCCTTCCTGCACTCCAACAGATCAACACTCCTGCTCAGCTTGGGATCATCTGCAAACTGACTGAGGGTGCCATGCCCTCAGTCACCTTGTCATTGGTAGAGATACTAAACAGGCCCCTGTACTGACCCCTGGGGAGCACCATTTGTGAGTGGCCACCAGCTGGAGGTAACTTCATTCACCACTATTCTCTGGGCCTAGCCAGTTTTTTACCCAGCAAATATGCACCCATCCCATCTATGACACCCAGTTGCTCTGTGAGAATGCTGTGGGAAACACTGTCAAAGGCTTTACTAAGGTCCGGGTAAACTACATCCACAGCTGTTTCCTCATCCACTAAGCAGGTCAATTTGTCATAAGAGGCGATGAGGTTGGTCAAGCAGGACATGCCTCATAAACCCATGCTGGCTGTGTCTGATTCCCTGGGTATCCTTCATGTGCTACATGATGACGACATACAGAGGGTGATCTGCTCCGTGACCTCCAGCACTGAGCTCAGGCTCAGTAGTTCGTATTGTAGAACTACAGGCCTGTAGTTCCCTGGATCCTCCCTCTGACCCTTCTTGTAGATAACCATCTGCTGTAATTTTCAATCTACTGGAACCTCCTCACTTACCCAGGACTGCTGATAAATGATAGAAAGTGGATTTTTGAGCACTTCTTCCAGCCCCCTCAGTATCTGTGGGTGGATCCCAGCCACCCCTTAAACATGTGTGTGTGTGTGTTTAAGTGGTGTAGCAGGTCAGTGACCATTTTCTCTTAGGTTATGGAGGTTTCATTCTGCTCCCCATCCTTCTCTCAGCTCAGGAGTCTGGATGCTCCAAGAATAATAGGTCTTACTATTACAATGGAAGTAAAGAAGGCATGAAGTACATTGGCCTTCTCTTCATCCTTTATCACTTGTTGTTTCCTGCAACATCCATTAAAGGATGGCGATTTTCCTTAGCCCTCCTTTTGTTGATGATATATTTGGAGAAGCTGTTTTTGTTCTCATACAGCAGTAGTCATATTAAGTTCTAGTCAGATTTTGCACTTCTAATTTTCTGCCTGTGTAACATCTGTGTAATCCTCCTGAGTGATCTGCCACTTCTTCCAAAAGTTATAAACGCTTTTTTCTTCCTTAGGAAAGGCTAAGTAACCAAAGTCCATATTCCATTATCAGGAATTCTGTTTGCAGAAGTACATATTTCTTTTGGCACTCTTTTGTGTTTAATGTTCCAGAAGTGATTTGGAAAGTGTCTCATCTGCATCATTAATATAACCTCCTGAAACTTCTGGCTCAGTTGATTTTTATGTCTCTGCTGGAACATTTATGTCTGAACACTATACCTGTGTATTGATAATAAATAAATTGTTGTGTCTGTATAGTCCCATATTTATTTATATGTGTGTGTGTGTGAATGACAATGTATAAAAAAATTCTCTAGTTTATAAAATATTTAGCCATTTATCTTTAGGTTTTTAGAATCTCTGGAACTGACAGACAGTCAGGATATGGAAAGCATGTGTTCAATGGACGTGGACAGCACTTTTGGCAATGTTACAGGTAAGAGCAACTGAAAGCTGATGTGCACTTTCTTCTAATTTATATATGGTCGAGATAAGGTCACATTTACTGCTTTTTCTGTGTGTGTAATGCTACTTTAACATTCAAAGCCTTAGAGAATTCCTTCAGTTTATTAGACTGGAAATTTACATTACTCTTTCTGTCTTCCAGCACAAGCATTTCATATTACATGGAAAGATACTTTCATAGGAGTTAGTGAATAAATTCTTAAACACAGATGATGTTCTTAATCATACTGTATTAGATCACAAAGCAGAGTTATGCAAGTGCCTCCCTCTGAAGGGGGATTCTGCAGGGACAGGCACTGAAAATGCTACTAAACAGCTGCCTGTTGAGGATCCCTTCTTAAGCCATTGGATGAAAAGTTGTGTGAAGTGTATGTAAGGTGCACTTCCACAGAACAGTGATATCTTATAGACAGTTCTACAGACCCCATATTATTTTCTGAATGGTACTTTTAGCCCAGGATAAGAATAACTAAAAGAGAATTAAACTCTAAAGCTGGTTGGACATAGTCTGTATCTTTGCTTCTAGCTTTTAAAAAAATCTGTGTTACTCAGCCATTATTAACATAGAAACACAGGGCATTTCTAAAAGGATGCAAAAGTCAAGCTTCATGTCCAGTCCATAACTGAAAAATACTGCATTTATTTGCTGCCTTCTGTGTGTAGTAGAGGTTGTTTAAAGGGACCAGGCAGTCTGTATTGGTATTAGAATAACGTATTTATGTTCATGTCCAGTAAGATTACAGGGGATGCATACAATTTATGTCAGCAAATCATTCACAGTATACTTATGAAAAGTGTTCACTTCAATAAATATTCCTATTTAATGTATAGGCTAACTTCCCCTCTGTTACATTAACTCTTGATATTCAGTGTCTGTCTCCGGCTTACTTTTGCTACTTTTTTTTTTGGTTTGTTGTTGTATTGTTTTCATACATTATTGGGATTTTCATTTTCATTTGTTCAGCTTTTGGTTTTGTGTGTGTATCTACCTCTTTATCTACCTGCCTGTTTGTATGTGTCCACATGATAAAAAAGAAAAGAATGGCGGAAAATAATTGTGAAATTCTTCTTGATTATAGATCTTGAATTGCACTTGCAGAGATGTCAGCAGCTATCTGTTACAGGTAGGTAACATTTTGACCTTAAGGTAAATTTTAATTTTGCTAGAGAACAAAAGCACTTTTAAAACATTATCTTAAAGTTTATTATAGGATATATGGTTATAGTTAAATGGTTATCCATATATGGTTATATATAAAGGATATTATAAGGTTATAGGAAGAGCTATTCTGAGAGTATAAATTCCATGTGTGTTGTATTTGGTTTGTTTTAAAAGAATAGATCATATTTGTATATTCTTCTTTCATTTGGTTTTTCTACATGTTGTGTTTCTGTACCCTGTACACCATACTCCCTCAGCCTAATGTGATTTATCTTACTGACTGTAATAACAAATTGTGTTGATAAAACTAAGGCTGCAGCTGGGAAGGAAAGAAAAGCTGGAAATTAAGGAAAAATGCATAACTGTGACTGCTATTTCCAGTATTACGAATATTACAGTGATTAATAGTATGCATGGTGCTTTTTCATCTCTCTGTGTATTGTTTTGCAGTATTAACAGATCATCAGGATTTGAGTAACACAGAACTGAAAACCATAACAAACAGCACAGCACCTCAACAGTATCGCATTAGAGCAAAGCTGAGAACTTACAAACCTCAAAAGCTCCATCAGTCTGTTAAACTTCATTGTTCCAAATGCAACTCTTTGTAAGTGTTTCACACGTTACAAGTAACTAGGAATTGCTCTGTATGTTTTGGGATGCCTAGATTTTCAGTGATTTTTTTTGTGTGTAAGATGAGCTGAATGTAAATGTATATAATTTTGTGAAATGATTTGAAATGCACTGGTAATAAGTAGGAATTTTTTAAATCGTCAGAGTTCAATTTACAGAATCTTCTGAGTGCTTTCAAAAAAAACGTTTTCTTAATTTGCAAATGCAGCAGTACAGTTTTTTTCCATACCATAGCTGTATAGAAGTATCTCAAGTATTTCTTTATTGAAGTTTTAAAATAGGATATTCAGAGAGGTATAATAGTCTCCAAATGAATTGATAAAATATTTTTAACTAAAGTGCATCTTCCAGACAAGGCATCTTTTCTGGATCCAAAAATGTCAGGGAAATCACACAACTTCAGGCCATTCCCGTGGGTCCTGTCACTGGTTGCCACAAAGAAGAGATCAATGCCTGCCACTCCTCTTCCCCTCAAGAGGAAGTTGTAACTACAGTGGGGTCTCCTTCATGCTGAACAGACCGAGTGACCTCAGCTGCTGCTCATATGGCTTCCCCTTAAGGCACTTCACCATCTTCGTTGCCCTGCTTTGGACACTCTCAGAGACCTTTTATAACCTAACCAATTCCGTAATATTTGTGTTATTTGGGTGGCCTGCATTATTGCTTCTCTGTGTGTGACAAGTGGAAGTGCACAAATAGTGCATTCCAGCAGGACAGGATAGAAACTGTGTGGTGCAGAGTTGTAGATTTTCACTTGACAGTACTTACGTGGAACTGTTCTGATCCTGTCCTTTTTTTCTTTTTCCTCCATCAGTTTATGCAAAGTCAAACAGACTAAAATATGAAATTATATAAGTTGATGTAGTCTTTTCACTCTAATGAAGCAGTATGCATTTTGTGGCCATTTTAAGGCCCAACTGAAATAACATAAAGCTGATAGATTTGGCTTTCCATGGATTTTCATTAGTGTGTATGTAGCCACTAGGCTGCCTCTGCTCCTAGGTAAGTTGGCATATTACTTAGCATATTTATTAACATGGAAAGCCATGATATACTATATAACTCTAAATGTTTAAACTGATAAAACATTTAGGATGTTTTTCCTGTACGTACATTAACTCTCATGGCTGTATTCTAATATTTGTTTGGAGTACTGTCATCCTTGTGGGTAGATTGCCTAAGGAGGAGCTGTTATAATATACTTACTCAATTTGGAAATGGTTTTAGGCAAGAAGTTCCAGATAGAGATGACTTTGACTCCATTTTACGTGGCTCTGCCAGTACTGCCCCAAACCCAGAATTACACAATACATCCTGGTATGAATCTGTAACATGGACTACACAAGACCAGAAGCAGAGGGAAATAACCATCCATTTTGTGAAGCATGATGAAATGCTTCAACATCCTGAAGACACCTTGCTTATGATAGAAGGTAAACTGCAAATATACCAATTCTTACAGAACTGTGTCCCTTCTGTGTATGTACAGAGTAAAGATATGTTGAAGTTGCATTCAGTGTAAGTAGTGATGATCATAAAGGCATCTTCAAAGAAAAGAAGAACTGATCTGGAACTCTAAGTTGCTTTTATGCAAACAGGAGATGGTAATCTGTGAAGGTCTTGTAAGATGATTCCGTCTATTTTAAAACTATGCCAATGTTGTTTATTGTTGATTATGCTGAAATTAACAGCTGAATGTCTTTTTTCTTCTAGCTGTGCTTACTGGTTTTACAGTTCTGATTTAAAAACTTGGCAAGTCTTCTAAATAGGCCTGTTTTTAGTAGTGATGTGGAAAGTTTTGAAAGGCTTCTCGTAATACAAGCTTCCAGTTAAATTTGTCAGCCTCTGGATGTCAGTGTTGTTTCAGATTAGTAGAGCTTCTCTCAGTGTGAATTTTTTTGGTTTGGTGTGGTTTTTATCAGATTTTCTCAGGAAAGAGAAATAGCCACTGACCTTTAAACAAAGCAATTTATCAAGAGTACTATTAAGGAATTTTTATATAATAAAAATAATAAATTGCATATAGCACCATTCAGAGTTCAAAACAAAATCTTCAATTGTGCTCAAGTAGTGATGTGAATAAGCGAATGTAAGTCAGGTGGTCCTTTGTGTGAGGGTCAATGACAAAACCCCTTCTGTTTTCTGCTTTCTTTTATAATGGATTAGTTCTGATAGCTGCTTTATTTCTGACATGTTCCCAACTGACTTCAATCTAACCTTTTCTTTTGGGAAAAAAAAAATAATCTATTTCTTCTCCATTTTCCTAGAACAGCTGAGCAATATAACTTGGTAAATCCGTTTTCAGATATTAAAGTGTCAGCAACTAAGTATGTCTGTGTATGGATTTGTGCATATAAAAGGTCAGTTCGGTTGCTTTGATTTTTTTCTAAGAAAATGGCTAGTAAGATCATAGGAGTAATTATATGAAAGTGATGTTAACTAAATACAACCTCTTCATTGCAGTGTTAGCTATGAGGAAGTTATTAAGGCATCTGCTTTGATAAATGTCTATTTTTGTTTCTTAATCGAATCTGTTGTTGAGTAAAAGTGAGAAGGTATTAGGCTATTTTTTGAGTTTTCAGTAGTAATATCAATTATTATTGAAGGCCCTGAAATCAGCTGAGAAATGTAAGTTGTTCAGTTTATTTCTGACTACTGTGTAAGAAACCATGGTTATTTGGTTTTTAATAGGTGGAACTCTGAAAGAAATCTGGAAGCTTTCAAAAAGATTTAAGTGTGTTATTCCTGTGAGATCCACAGAAGATGATCTTGAATTATTAGATCTTTCAGCTCCTTTTCTTCTACAAGGGAATGTAAAATATTATGGGTAGGTGAAAAGTATTTGTTGATATTTCACTAGTTGCTGTAAAAGATGGCATTTTCTTCAGTAGTTCAGACTGCAGTACTTCAAGGGAAGACTTTGATGTAAAATATATTGCATGATCTACAGTACTGACATTGGGGATGAAATGTGGTATCATTTGATACCTGGTATCAAAGGACTGACTGCAGTTTGGCTCTTGATCTGTAAATCTTAAGACCTTAATTACACAGCACTCCAGTTTCAGTCTTTTCTGTGGTGCCTGGGCAGGGCAGTGGGCTGTAGAAATGGAAATGCACATGCAGTGCCAAGTACCTAAATACCTCTTCTAGTCCAGATCTTCCATTTTCTGGTCTCACTTTGACTAAAGTCAAAACATACCTTGTTTTCGAAACTGTATGCTGAGGGGTTTTAGATGCAGATATATACAATATAACAGATAATATCTAAATAGAGATACAGAAGATAGTAATCAGCCAGTCAGTCTACCGCTCATTCTTAGTGTTGGGAAAGCTTAAGTTTTGGAAGCAGTAAGGGATTTTGGACAGCTTTTCGTTACCATTTGTAACTTCTGATGATCCACAGCACTGCAAAGTGCCTTACCTCTTTGTGGATGTCATTCACTGTAGAGATGACTTCACCGGGTTTCTGAATTCCACAGTTCTAAAGCTGTGGAACACAGTAACTACACCTAGGTCTGGTATTTGTGATCTGCCATGCAATGCCATGTTCTGCTCAGTGGGAGCTGTCAGCAGTGTGTTCCCCCAGTAATGCCCAGCAGCATACAGCTGCTGGGCTCAGAAATACCAGCCTCCTCCATGCAAGCTACTGAGTCCTCTATCTCAGCAGCTCGGGCAGAGCACAGTGCAGTGGGGCACTATGCTAGGTCTCCAGCCAGTCAAAAATTTTCTGTGCAGAAATATTCCATGTTTCATGTGAACCCTAAAGTTTCCCATAAGGGCCGTCCATAAAATGAATACAGGTAATTGTTTCTCTTTGTCATATATAGTTTTGACCTTTCCAGATATTGCTGTCTACAGCTTTTTTTAAATAAAGACAGTATATGGATACTCGTATTGGGACAGGATCTTCACCATTACAAAGTATTTCTGCTTGCACTTTCATAATCCATATATTTCCCCTGCTACATGCAACTCACCTTCGGACATTGCTCACTCTTCAAATGGTTGAACTGTAAAAGTAAAATGGTTTATAAGGTATTCCATGGTTGCTTATAGGATATTTTGGAAAGAATCTCAAAAGTATGCTGACATTCCAGAGCTATGTTTCATGCATGTTTCTATTAGTGGCATATACTTTGCTAAGAAAAGATTCTGTTCGGTAGAATGAATTATGTGTGTATGCATTTGCGTGCATATTCATTTATATATAAAACACAGACACACTGCATATAAAAAGCAAAATTTTCAGTTGTTCTTTTATTGGAGTTTGAGTTTTTTAAAGGAAAAAAGTGACTTGACTATATCACTTAAGCAGAAGTAGTTTTATTGATTTGACATATAATTTTAAACTATAATAGATGTTTATTTCAAATTCTAACTGTAGTATACTAACACAGCAACTTAATTTGGAACAACTAGTTTTGTTCTGTAATTTCATTCCTTGAGGCAAATGGGAGCAACTTTGAAAACAGTTCAATACTTCAATCCACTTGTAGCATTTGCTTAATATGTTACATGTAAAATTTATAATACTTGGTGAAAATACACCAGTAATAAAATAGACTTTTTTAACAACTCTTAGTTAATATTCTCAGCATAGGCAAAGCCAGATTTCTTCTGTAACTCTGTAATGGGTTTAGAGCATGCTACAAGTTTAGATTAATTTCTGATTTTACAAAGTGAGAAGTAGTGGCATATGAGCATATGTTTAGTAATGTAGTGATCTTAGAATCATAGAATGGTTTGGGTTGAAAGGGACCTCTCCTGATCAGCTAATCCAACCCTCTGCCTTGGGCACAGACACTTTGCACTGCACCAGTCTCGTCTTGAACACTTCCAGGTATAGGGAATCCACAGTGTTCCTGGACAGCCTGTTCCAGTGCCTCAACTTCTTTGTGAAGTGTTTCTTCTTTCTGCAAAATCTACATCTACCCTCTCTCAGTTTAAAAATGTTGTTCCTTGTTCTTCACTACAGGCCCTGGTTAAAAGTCTGTCTCTGTCTTTCTTATAGAAAAGAGAGTCTTGACTCTGTCTTCTCTCACTTTCTTCCCTTTTATATATAGAGAGGCCACAGTAGGGTCTGCCTGGTCCCTCTGTTTTCAAGGCTGAACGACCCCAGCTCTTCAGCTTTGATGTAGAGTTTTATTCCTGTCTAATTACTGAAGTGGTCTTTTCTAGATTTATTTCTCCTCATGGATAGTTCAAAAAAAGCATTAAGGGATTTTGTTTTGCTCCAAAGCTGGTGTGTCTGGTGAAGTAGTTACTTCAAGCAGCAATATAAATACTTCTGCACTTCACTGTGTAAGAAAATCAAGAGTTTTATTCTGCACAGAAAAAAAACAATTCTAGTACAAATACATCAATGTTTGGTTAGTCTCAATATGTTGTTTTAAATGCTAGGTGCAAGCAGTGTTCAACTCCAAAGCCTATGAAGAATCTAAGTTCCATTGCAGCAGAACAGCAACCATCATGGGAACCAACTGAAATTGCACAAGGTCAGCTAACATGATACTGTCCTGAAATACTTTTGTGCCTTGGTTCTGAAGGGTCGGTGTGAAATAGTTTGACTCGCAGTTCTGGGTTGCAGTTTTCCACAGAAAGCATGTAGTTATGGTCATGTTGAATACAGTGCTGTAAAATTCATTCACCTTTTACCAATCAAAATAACATACTTACTTTTGAAACTATTGCAGTATGAATTAAAGGATTTTATATGTTGACTAGTTTGTTCTACCATTGTCATCAGTAGTAACGCTTATGATAATACAGGTGTCATGAATTTTTGGTTGTAGATGTTACTTTTAAACTTGCAGTCCTAGAACTTAATCTTGCTTTTCCTTTTGTAGATACTGTTTTTCTGACCTGAACTAAAGACAGTATTATTTAATGACTCATACAAGTTAGACTTTTTTCTTCTGTAAACTTCATTTTCCAGAGTCTACAAGAAATAAATGAGTCATACCACAACAATTACACATGTTCTATGCTTCATGTGTTCCTTGTGTTGCTATATGAAGTCAACATGTTACAATGATGGAAATTGAGTTTAAAACTTTACAACACATTAAGGAAAAAGAATATTTGCATGTTTATCAATTCATGTTCTAAAATATTAAATTGGGATATCTAGCAATATATATTTGATAAACACTTTCTAAAAGTTTGTATTTGAGCAATACAGTGATTTTCTTAAATAAATTTTCATAATTTTATCCTATTAAATAATTGTAAAGTAATATATAACCCAGTGATTTTATTATAATATATAACTGCCAGACATTTAATTCTCAAAGTGAAAACAATATTAATTAATGCTTCCTGACAGTTACACTATGTTATGTGTATCATTCTTCTATCAGCTGTATTTTCCGGCTAAAATATAAACCTGCAAGTTTATCAGATCAGTTGAACATAAAATGACTACCAGTTTAAGTAGGTGTACCTAGAAAAGACTGATGCTGAGCTGTACTAACTTTGACTGTTTCAGTTATTTTATGTTTGCAGCGTAACAGTTACTGCTGCCAGTGATGTGGTGACTGTAGTCTTTTACTTACAGTGAAATACTTTCAGAACTGCCAGCAAAATTTTTTTTCCTGAACAAGCCTGGTAGCTTTTACTACATCATACCAAATAAACTGTTTTTCCTCAGAAAATAGTTTTCAGGTGGAATTTGTATTACCACTGAATTAAGAGCATCTCTCCTTTAATCTTCCATGGATAAAAGAACACAAGACTAGGAGGATCCTACTACGGTGGGATCTAAAATCTAAGCAAATATTAGCTTTTTGTTTACTAGCATGGGAATAAGTACTTAAGAATCTTTGTGTTTTTATAGGCTCATCTATTAAGGTGTTTCTAGGAAAATTGCAGTGTGGTCTCAAGAGATAAATGACGTTTTGCTGTCAGACATCACAGTCTCTATTTTGGTCTTTAATACTTCTGATGACAATATTCAAAATCAGTTGCTATTAAAAGAGTTGCTATTAAAAGATTGCATATTCTCTCAGAGAAATACCAATTTTTCTTTCCTTCAGTTTTAGGTATTGAACTGCTCCAGTATGTTTTTATTATGAAGTTTACACTGGTTGATGAAACAGGAGCACTAAATGCATACCTTTTTGATTATGTAAGTAAATCTAGGTAAAAGTAGACTCTACAGATAGATTCTACAGTAGAATCTACAGATGGTGTGAGTTTGGATTATATTTGTTTTTAAAATGGCAAATGTATGTGCACAAATATTCATTCTATGTTACCTGCAGTGTTTCATGGGAATAATTACAATTCTATAAGCTTATTATTAATACTGTACAGAGTATAGAATATTAAAGCATAAAGACAAAATTGCAGCTTGAAGATTATTTGATATTTCCATAAACTTATATATTCCTATAGCTGAATTTCTCTTTTATTGGCAATGTTAAATTATGCAGCCTCAATACTGTGTGAATGATAGGAATGTTTCAGGATTTATGCAGTTAACTTCTGCATCAGCTTAAAATCTCATTACCTCTTTTTTTAACTCTTAATAGAATCTCTCCTTTCAGTAATGCTTGATTCTTTTGTTTCCCATGAGCGTGAGGTAAGGAGGCCCTCTTTTCTTGGACAGCTGTATCTGTGCAGATATTTTTCTTGGATTTCAGAGGCAATTTATTCAACTACTTCACTAACCTTAGAATTAGCCTATCTTCAGTTTTCTCTGAAGCAACTTAAGACCATTCCTGCTACCTGAGACACTGAAGATTGGATGATTTTCCTGTCACAGCAGTGTGGGTGTGACAAAATGGGACAGAAAAATAATTTAGTGTGATTTTTTTTGTGCACAGCAGTGTTGTTTAATGTGTATATATCTGCACATTTTCTGCTATTATATTGAATTACTTTGAATGGGACTTTAAAGAGAATGCTCTTCCTTGTTTAATATTAAGACTGTAAGTAAAAATAATATCAGAATAAAGTGTGTTTTTTCTTAAAATACATGGTGTTTTAACAGCAAAGGAGATCTAAGACTAAAATCTCCATTTTAGCCAGTCATCTTTTCCTTCTACTGTCCTTTTTTCTTTTTTTATCAAGAAACTAAACTGTAAAAGGAGGGTGGGGAGATTTAAACCATCTCTTGATGCAGAGTTCCAAAAATTTTTACTTCATGGTGGCTCACTTTTTTATCAGATACTGTTCAGTACTACAGTTTAGCTGCAGGAAAATACCCACAGTTTCTTCTGAAGTGCCAGCTGTTCACCTTCCTGCTGGTGGTACTTCAAAGACAAGCCAAGAGTTTCCAAGCCTAAACTCCAGTCCTTCAGCACCACCTGAGAAGGAGCTGGGCTGCTTTGAAGTGCAGCTTTACATTAGCCTCCAGTTGCACTTCCATAGGAGCACAGTGCTTCTCTTTCCTTTCCTCCTTACAGGAAAAGTCAGTGAAGGCAAAAAACTAAAAAGTTCTGTAGTCAGAAGAAGACTGAAGAGAGAGACGAGAAAGTTATGTGTCATTCTTGCTGCTGGATTATCCCCTAACTTCTGATCATTGCCATTAAACATGTCATACAAAAATTATACAGAGGCAGATTATTCTGTAGCTGTATCTTACAACAAAAATGAGAAATTACTACCACAAATCTTAAGCTCACTCTGAGAAGTTATAAAATGATGAGCCTTTAGGGATCCAAAATCAGGTAACAAGCTTGGAAAGAATAAACTTGGAGTTTTTTCAATCATACTTACTGTATGTGGTTTAATAATACACAGAAAATGTTTAACATTTTAATGTTCCATTTATTATTTTCTGTCTCAGAAGGTGCACTTCTGGTTAGTCTCAGTATATTCAGGAGTGTACCCCACAGTACAAGCATTTTTCTGTAGTTTCTAAAACTTGCCTGAATTTCTAAAAATGAAACTCGCGCTAAGAGAGTTTCACAGATACAAAGCCAGGCTGCAGTGCCCCTTGTTTTAAAGGGATCTTGTTCCTCTCAAGATGTGAGGGACTGTTGAGGGGGCTGATCCTCTCTGGCCATAACATTGTCTGATATTGTCTGGTTATGGAGTTTCATGAGGAATATCTGCCAATTATGTACAGTGACTGATGTGTGCTTTCTGGGTGGCTGTAGTCCCTAAGTACTCAGGGAACTGAAAGACAGACTGATCATTTTTTCAGACAGTTTGGGTTTTTTCTGTATCTGGACAGTTTTTTGAAATAATACGATTCTTCTGTTGTGTTACCTGATTTTAACTTCTTAAAAGAACATGCAATCAAGGTTCTGGCTAATGATTTCTTACACCTCTTTCAACACTTCATATTCTTCTGTTCTCTTTCAGGAGAAGTTTTTCCAAATTCCTGCCTCTGAAATCTTAACTAGTAATTTTCTTCAGCAAAAGATGCAGATGACCATGAATACACTCTGCCCTCCAGGAAGAAAACTAGGTCAGCTTGCTGTTTTTTCAAAAGGGGGTGGGAAGGGGTCTTTCAATCTGCTATTGCATATGCAAAGTCTTAGAATTCAGCTTACACTGGAAGTTGAAAAATGCTGGAGCCTGAAAGCAAAGTTCATATTAATTTGTTCTGAAACATGTCTTTCATATTAACTCTGCCTTTGAGAAATAAAAGAAATGGTTCAGTAAATTCTCATGTAGCATGCAGTGGTGTGTGAATAGAGTCATGCCTGTGCAGGCACTGACATGCCATCTGTAGTCATATGAAAGTTAACCAGAACACCCTCATACTGAATGTCACAGCACGTGAGGGAAAATGGAAAGGAAATTCAGCGTATGGCACGTGCTTTGGGTGATACCCTGCTTTTGATTGCACATGCTGCCTTGGAACATCCCCTGCCATGGGAAGTATCAATGGAAATTGAGCAAATGCTTAATCCAAATCCATTTGCAGAGTTTTTTGTGCAGTGTATGTGTTGTGAAAGAAAGTAGCTCTGCCTGAACTACACGTGTCCAAGGAAGATGGGTATGTAATATGCAGCTCTGACCTCCAGAGCATACTCCAAGTACATGGCTGTCAGTGACCACTGCAATCACCCTGGAGTCTTTGCCATACTTACAAAAAGTTGTCCTGTAATAAAGGTTGTAAAGGATTTTCCCTTTGAGACCAGTGAAATTGTCTCATTGAGACGCATGGAGATGAATTTTTATTATTGGAAGGCCTTTACATATATGTATTTTATATGTGGCATGACTGCTGGGTCCAAGTGTTCTGTGGAATGCTGGTGCAGGGAGGACAAGTCTTGGAAGGCTGTCACTGAGCACCATTTCAGATCTTGTGGGAAATTGAAAAGATACCAGTTGGAATTTCAAAGTTAACAATTCATTTTTCTTATTATTAACTATTGTATAAATTTAGATATCCTAGTTAAGATCTTGCTCAAGTTATACTTGTGTGTTATAAAAATTAGCAATGAATATTAAACAGTAATTTGGATTTTGTTGGTAGGTGACTTGCCGTGGCTGGAGTGCTTCATCAGGTCCTATAATGTCAGAGACGCAATGAAAAATCAAGTTTATTACCAAATTTTTGACACTACAGTTGCTGAAGATGTTGTATAGTCATGTGTTGCTAATTGGAAGTAATCCAGTAAGAATCAGTTTCTGGGGGTGGGGGCTGGGATCAGAGATTGTATTAAAAAAAAAAAAATCATTGTTCCTTTCTTAGGAATTTAACCTGTTTTTATGAACTTTTAGGTTATGTATGAATGGAAATGGGAATTATACTCTGATATGTTTGCTTTTTTCCTGGCACACGACTTCGTGATCTAAGGCCAGGTCGAGGTTCTAAGCTTCTCTCACTGGAAGCTGCTTGGCTTAGGCTGATGGAAACAATCTACTTTCCATCTGTCCTTCATAAAGGCAGTGATGAGGTTACTCTAATTTTGTGAATTTTACTCAGAAAAATGTAGTCATTGTGTGTTCATTTTTGTATTAAATTGTTGTATTTTTGTATTAAATTATGTCAACAGAGGCAGAGAGAAAGAGATCTTCGGTAAACTCAGACTACTTTGTACAAGCCAATATTACTGTTCTCAGTTTGACAGGGAGGTTGGTTTTTGGAGACTTCTTTCATTTTGTACTGATTTGTACATTTAGACAAACTCCTCCCATTAGTGACACTCAAGTAACTGCTTCATGTACCAGTTACTGCAGATCCTGATGGGGTTGTGAACATGGCCATGTAGTGATTACCACGAAAATTAAAGTCAAGCCATGAAAGTAAACTAGTGTAAAATTGTAAAATGAATATTGACCTTTAGTAATGATTCTGAGGTGGCCAGGTTGGGTACCAAAGTTGTTTGCGTGTTTATTAGCTGGGTCTGTGTTTTCAAAGGCTCGATCTGCCTTTTCCATCTTATATAATCAGATTGTGTGCCTAAATTTAGAGATACAAAACTGATCTGGTGCTATCATGGACTGAAAATTCTGCTGACTAGAAAACTGTATGGTGGTTTTACTTCGCATTCAGAAGTCTCTAGGACAAGTTCAGAACATGTTTCTCTAAGGATAATTAATGTAGAAATCCCTGTCAAATCGAATGTTTTCCATCAGAACAAAATCAGTATTTACAGCAGATTTTTTAAAGAATTTCAGAAGCAAGATGGGATATTTGTAAGTAGATTATTGTTTTGATAGTAGATGACAATTTTTTTTTTCCATTTTTGAGGGCCATTTAATAGATTATGCAATTTGTCTTAAAATTTCATCAAATATCCTCCGGTAATTTTCTTGTACTGTAAATTATACTGTGTTTAAATGTCATAAGCCAGGATATTGTTCTTTGTTGATTGGTGTATAGGGGCAGCCAGTATTAAAAGTGGTGAGTGTATATTTCCTTTAAAAATTTCTAAAAAATATAAATATTTTGGAATCGAACACCAGTTTATCAAAGAGTCTACTGACTTTCTTAAGTTTTCTGGAATTTTTGCATAAATGCACCAATAAAAAATAGTTAGAACAAATGAATATTATAAAACTTAAGACACTGGTCATACCCAAATGTTTTCACAAGTTAGAAGTTAAATTGAAGGCAATCTTCTTTGCTTTTATTTTATATAGGGTATAAAAACGTGAATTTCTATTTTTAGATTTTTGTTAACAACTCTGAAAACTACTGATATTGTACAGTTTTCTAATTTGTCTTTGTAAAGTAATAAATAAAAAGATGTTTTGAACTTCAGTGTAAAATAAATCAGTTTCACCACATGTCTTGCCTGAGATCCCTGCCTAAAAACCCTACATATGCATCACATAATTTTTTGACTACTGAATATTTTATTAAAATTTTTAATAAAGATTTCTCCAAGTAATTTTTTCATGTATTTGAGTTTTAATTTCTGTTTCATAGCTGTGAAAACTTTGTCATCGGTAGCCTTCATCCATCATAGTGCTCCAAATGAATGTATAGTTTGTTGGATTAAAAGGTACATGTTTAATTCTTTTTCTAAATATAATGTGTATAAATAAGTTAATAATTATATATTTGTTCATACTATAGATCACTGTATAGAAAGGAGTTACTGGACAGACATTTAAAAATGGCTCTCATTGGTAGCCTTTGTACAGAGCAGTGGAAGTCACTGAGGTGGGACTTGAACCGTAGCTACCTAAGGTTAGGTGCCTGGTCAGTGCTGAGAATGTCTAACTGGAGGGTGAAATCCTGAGATTGTTGTGTCCTGAGTCTGCAGCACCAGCAGGCTCTGGTTTCTGAAAGATGAGCATCTCAGGCAGCAATGACTTTTAGCCATTACTTACAATTTTCCTAATTACAAATGAAACTCTTATTTCCTTTGGCGAGTTTCTTGACCAGGTGTATGATTTCAGTTTCTAAAACATTTTAATAAAAGTTCAAATGTCTACTCTAATAGTTTTTTTAATTACTGAAGTATGTATTTAAAGACACTCAAAATCTGATCCAGTAGGAGGAGATGGGGTAATACTGGTACACTAAGATCCAGTGAGAGCTCCAGGCATGTCTTGCTGGTTTCACATCTTTCTTCCTTCACATAGATCCCAGCATACAGGAAAACTGAATCAAAACAGCACCTTCCTACTAGAAATGGAAAATATGCATGGAATGTGAAGTACATCACACACAGCACCATCATCAAGGGGGAGGAATATCTTAATATAAAAGGAGGAGCTGTGAGGGAAAATAACAGAAATATAAAAGACCAAGAAAGGAACATGAGCCTATTAATTGTTCCAATGGATAAGTGCAAAAAAAAATGATAAAGCTGTAATTATAAAAGGTTTTTTCAGGGAAAAAAAGAAAATAAAATAGATTTGGAATAGTGTTTTTAGGGATGTCTGTGTAATTTGTCTCCTTGAAGTCTGTGTTTTAAGGGAATTAAAAACTTAAGGACTTTGGACGTCTTTCCAAATTGAGTTGAATTTAAGTTCTTGGACATATCATACTCTTGAAACTCCAGCTGGAAAGACAGAATGTAAATAAATAACATATTGCAGAAACAAGGAGGCATTCCTGTTAGGTATTACTGCTGTTGAGTAGGGATTGAACTTTCTCATCAGCTTTTGCAGTTATGGGATCTAGAGATTTACAGACAAGGCTTTGAAATGCTTAGCTTAATGCTAATCCTTTGGCTACAGAGCTGCAGGATGTGGGACTGTGAGAAGGACAGTGGAGCCCAGAGGATACAAGCTGAGGCTTGAAACAGGAGGAAGGGAGTTTATTGTCTTAACAGGGATGAGTGCTTAGCTTTTCAATACCACAGCATTTTAAATCATGAGAATTTATGCATATTAGGTCACTTTTTGGCCAAGCCATTGCATTAAGATGTAAAACTGGTAGGAACTGGGATTCTACCCTATAGGGAAAGGCCAAATATTTAAATGGAGTTGTGAAAAAATTAAATACATGTTCAAGTTCTTCAGGTGATACATATTTTCAATTTCTTCAGGTGCAAAGCGACCACTGCAAAAAAATTTTGTTCACTGGAGGAGAGAAAGAAGAATCCAAATAAGAATTTACTTCCAAGTATTTTTCAAAGTGTACAATGAACGTAAAGAATTGGAAACAAAAAAACAGCATAAAATGGAGACAGAAGGAAAGAACAGTTCCAGAGGATAGTAATAAAAATAAGAAGTGATAGAGAGTCTTTATGAGACAGTTCGCTGCAGCTCCTGTTCACAACATTTCCTATAGGTGAAATTCCCAGTAAGAACTCTGGTTTGGGAAAACATTCATCTGATGATGGAATACCTGATCCAAAGTGCTTAAAAAATGTAGAGCAGAATTATGCTACAATTAATGAATTCGTATTTGTGGTAAAGATATGGGTGGACTTCACCCCAGAATAATGTGCTACAATTTTTCCTTGTTTCCTACTGCAAGTCTGATACTTGCTATGGAGGTATCTCCATAAAACTGCGGTATCGGTACCATTTGTCTACATAAACAGAGCAGACTGAAACTCAAGGACTAAATCTACATGTAGTAGATAATTGTTTTAATTTGTTTTTACAGGGATGTATGCTGAATAGGGAAATATGTGCCAGCAAAGGAGGTTTTGGTTTTGTTTTCCTATCAACTGTTCTATTACATATTGCTTTAAGCATAACTTTGTTCTGTACCTTCTACTCTGTGTGCACAGCCTGTGGACTGACACTGCTAAACTTACACAAAAAAGTACAGTTTTGTACAAGCTACACCTGAGTCTGTATTCAGCTGTAATTTCAAAGGCCAGCTATCAGATAGTTGTGAATTATGGAGGTGTTACTTCACTGAAAGGAATTCTCTGAACAATGGCAGTTTATAAATGTTGCTTGAATTTTTTGGTTAAATAGCAGCAAAACTGAAACTGAAATCTGCTGCTGGAACAGATTTAATTACAGATTTTATTTCTTCTTGTGTCTACAAATGAGGCCTTAAGCAACTCAAAGCCTCTCTGAAGCAATGTTTGAAGTGGCATACATGATCAGTTGCTGACAGGTTGTATATTAACCAAAGGGGCTCCTTATTGTTTTTAACGGGGTGAGTAAGGGGCTTTCACCACGCAGCTGTCTTAAATGCTGTCACTGACATACATTCATTTTGCTACTCCATCTTGAAGGATACAATTTTCCTAACATATTAACCATGCCAAAGGAGTAAAATCCCATTTATAAGAATGTAAATATTGGTGTGATTGCATTTGACATAAGCCCGGGATATCGAGGTGTCAGAGGCCATCTAGACACGCTGCCCTGCGGTCTCCCGTCATGCAGAGGTACCCTGGTACGTGCAGTGTGGTGGTGTCCAGGGTCTGGTCAGGACAGGGGTAATTGTTTTGCAGCAGCCAAGAGTGGGCATGGCTGGTATGCAGAGCTTATTCTGTACCACTTCACATCACTGCCAGGGGTGGGGGAAAGGGACCCTCTTGTGGAGAGCGGGCCCTCTCTTCTGCTTTAGGGGATTTTTTTCCATGTGCATCATTTCTTTTCTTGTACCCTCTCTCATTAATATTGTTGCTATTACTGTTCATTTTCTTGTTTTATTGCTGTTTTCAGTAAATTGTTCTTATCTCAAATTGTGACCTTTATTTTGTCTCCAATTCTCTTCCCCATTCTGCTACAGGGGACAGACAGAGAGAGGAAAATGGGAGAGTGAGAGAGAGCAGAGCATGGTTTGGAGTGTCTTGGTGGGGGCACTGAATTGGGAACTGCCATTCCTAAACCATGACATGTGTGTAAGGTCTCACTGCCCAGAAAATGGCATTTGACTTAAAGGGAAACAGCTGTTTCCATTACTTTCTGTTTTGTTGAGAGTAAACCAAACAGCCTTAAAAGTAAGGAGAAAGGTGAAGAATTGCTTTTTCCCTACAGGTCAGTTCAGTGCATTTGTTCAGCAATGTTCTGTGGCTTGGGTCCTTGCAGGAAACAGAAAACTTCAAACATTTTGTTTGAAGGGTTGAGAAAGGTCAGAAGTTACACATGAAGGAACAATGAGGAATGAGGAGTGAACCTTAAATATCTGATCTGGCAATTCTATAATTCAGATTTTGTACTTTGCAAATCCTAATGTAGATCTTTTGACTGCTGTGCTCTATATGATTGGATAATAAATAACATCTTGAATATTATTCCATTGTGTTCTAAGTGATTAACTAGACTAATTCACAATTACATTTCTATACAAGTTTAATTCCTCTGGGTCCAGTTACTGGAATTTGTTTCTATCCTTTAAAAACTGTATGGAGAAGGAATTGGCAAAATTACAGTATTTGTCGTTCACCGAGTGCCAGGACCTACTCGTATCAGATCATTTTTTCTGGCAAAGATGATATTCCACAATGATACCTTTTAAGTGTACTTTTTCACAGCAAGCTTATCGAGGCAGTTTAAAAATAGCAATAATTTTCAAAACTCATTTAGCTCTGCTGTAAGGCCTAGAAAGATGTGAATGTCTGGCCTACTTTTCAGTCTGGATAAGGAGGTAGCTGATGTGATGTGATGGAGCAGGGAATCCGGAACTCTCTGCTTAGGGGCTATGGCAAAGGTACTCAAGCCTCATCTTAAATATCGAGGTCATTGGCTAATATGTGTCAGGAAAGCACAGAGCTGTACCAAATATTCCTGTCAAGAGCACATGCAACAATGCAGATCAGAATTGGAAATAAATTATAATTTAAACTGACACATGGAAAAATGGGACATTGATAAATTCTGCTTTTGGTAATTTAGCTTGGGTAAAGGATTTTCATCTGAAACTTAAACCAGATAGTAAATAAAAACTTAATTTGATGAAAAGCACAAGACTACTTGCTCAAATAGAGCAGAGGCCCCAGAGGAGGCACTGAATTGAAAAGGGATTTTTTTTTCTTCTAGATAACCATACAACTGCTTTATACTATAGCATAACTGATCAAGGTATA